TCATTTACAGGAAAAAAAAAACTTTTGAAAATACTCCAAAAAAGTGCCAAAAGTGTCAATGACATACAAATTAGCCATCTATCTGTAAGCTTTGAAACAGGAACTTCAATTTTAATAACAAAAAATTATTAAACCATGTAAAAAAAATAAAGTTTCAATTTAGTATTGTTAAAAACTCATCACATTTAACATTTAATCACTCACTTAGATAGAGATGGGTTTAAAGGAAAATTATCATATAACTATAATCTGGTAAAAGCTGGTATCTCTGGGTATTTACAATGTCCCCTGCAACAGAAAAAACCCCTCTCATTTGGGACTGAGGATTCTGGGACAAGAGAGATATGACTTGGCCCATGTTGACAGCAGTGGGTGACGTTGTGCATTGTCTTTCCCCCACTTGAGAGGACAAGCCATGAGTGAGATAGAGGTCTCTTTACTGTAAAAGTCAATATCTGCATCAATCTGAACAGTGTGCTGTGTTTCTGCAGTCCCCATGACTGTTATTAGTCGTATTCCCCAACTTGCAGGCACGTGCACACATAGGGCTTAACCTGTGCAGTGCACATGCCCTTTTTAGTCTTGCATAGAAAATGCCCTTCCAAAACGATCAAAAGTGCCCCCGCGACGCGACACAACCTCCGTCCAGTCCAGCCCTTCAGTAGGCGCGCGATAACACCTCTCTTGAGTATGCGCGCTCAACCCCCCCTCGGCGCTTTACAATACGCGCGCCACAACACAGCTGATCAGAACGCGCGCGACGACAACACCCGCTTTAGGTTCGATCATTTCCATCTTTTTTTCATCTCCGCTACTAGCAGCACACTCCATTTCCGCATTACTGGATCTGTAGCGACAACAGACCGCAAAGGATTATGGCCACGCCGGGGCTGATGGGAAATGAAGTTTCAGCTACCTCCCGTTCGCTTCATTCGCCTGAGCAAATTTTCTCAGAAGACCTATAGTTTTACCGAGTCATGCGACTTCGGTAATATCGAAAAAATTTAATATTGCGGTATGACGGTATTTACAATACCGTTACATCCCTAATATATATATATATATATATATATATATATATATATATATATATATATATATATATATATATGTGTGTGTATATATATATATATGTGTATATATATATATATATATATATATATATATATATATATTCCTTTATTTTAAATCTTTAGGAACTGTTTTGGTAAATAGTGCTTAAAATGTCCCTAAAATGCAGTAGCTATTTAAACTACACAATACTTAACTTAGCAGTCAAATAAGGTCCACTTTGTAATAAGGTTTACTTTTTGAGAAAAAAAGAACTGTCCTTTTTACCAGGCTGACTATCGGCCTGATATGAGTTGCGCATTATGGGATGAGGACAAGTTTATTGACAGTTTGCGCTTTAGTAATTTAGCCCCATGGCAGGTCACAGACAAAACTGTGGTTGTAAGTTGATGCGGAGCCTGATAGAAATGGGGTCTAAATAATGTTTCATCTTCTGGGAATTTTTCTGCAAGTTCATTCTGACCAATCAAAATGCAGATTTGGATATTTCTTCAGAGATGCATCTAAATAACGAGTCATCTTGATGTTGTCATGTGAATGTGTTTTGGTTTGTTTCAACTGAAAACTGCTATTTATAGCTCTTTTTTTGCCCTTGGTCTGGACCAAAGTACTAGAGGCCGGTTTCACTAGCACTTTGCAAGTTAAAACGTAGCCTAGTTGTGAGGTAAGAGACGCTAAGTTACAACTTGGACACTAGAGTTAATGTTATGCTCCAACTAGCTATTTTCTGGCAGCCTCTACCAATGTATAATGTTAGAAAAGAGATGACAGTGAAATTAGTTTACATTTAGGTGCTTGCGATGATTATGAAGAACAATCTCCCTCTGCTTAATTTTCTGTCAAATCTCACTTTTTTTGGGTTAGTTTCTTTTGGGTTTGTAGAAGAATAGTTTAATTTTCTTTGGAGTGTTTATTGTTATTTGTATCCATGAATTACAATTAGAATGTTTTCTCTTTCAACGTGCAGGCTATTAAAATAATTCAATTGTATTGTTTATTGTCACATTTAGATATTGCTTGATAATAATAGCAGGGAGAGAACTCTGAGCTCCTGCCTGGTCACTGAGCATGTAAGGGGGTACAAGATCAGGTAGTTCTCAAGAGCTCCCCCTGGTAAAGGAGAAAAGGAGGAGATGGGGTGGTTGGGGGGTTTCTTCGGAAAACGAAGATAAGCTTGTAGTTTTAGCTACTTATAGTCAGTTTGAATTAATCAAATTCGGTCTACTAATGATTACAGATGAGAGACCAGCTGGGATCAATCATATCACATGGTCCTCTTAAAATTAGTTTGTGAAACTTCACTTAAAGATTTATATGCTTCCTTTTAGGTATTTTGTCATTCAATGCAACTAGGCATTACTTTATGAAGAGTTTATGTCTTACATTCTGCCTAAAGAACGTGTGGTGCAACCAAAGTAAGAACAAATTTAGCTACAAACTAGCTAGTAAGCCACTAGTGTCAGTCTGGAAGGATTAAAAATAGACTTATCAGAATTAGAAAATGACTTTCACCAGACTGTGAATATCCGAAAAAGCTCAAAACAAGTCTTTCTGCAGCATTATTATAAACGTGTTGAATATTACTGTAGGGAATAGGAGAGAGCACAACGTAACACTTTTTGGTTTTGGTCAAATAATGAACAAAGTAATAAGGTTAGACGAACTATATTTTTTTTACCCCTAACACACAAGCCTCTCCTACAAATGAGCACTGGTTGTATGATCGCCGGACCTATGGTTTCTGTGCAGCATTGCCAAAAATGCCAGAAGTAAAAATGTTACTATTTACCCCACTTGCGGGGCAAGTTGTAACAGACAGAGGGGTAGTTGTAACACATGCTTGTAACACAAAGGCGGATTTCACACAATTAATTTACTTCAAATAGTAGCTATATTTCCTCAGTAATTGGTTGAATTTATTTTTTATTTTGACTAATAAAAAATACTTTTATGCTGCAAAAATGTTTTCTCCTGTGTTTCTCATCCAAATTTTGCAGAAAAGATCAATAATTGGCAGGAAGACGTCTGCTGACTGTGGTGAAAGTCTCTGAAACATGCCATGGTTAACCCTGAGTAAATACCTTAAAACTCCATGCTACATTTAACCGCCATAGTGAAAATTATCTGGAGGCCCTAAAGAGCTCTTTCCACTGCTTGAAATGATTTCAGCTCATTGAATTGAACAAACTATAAGTTTGAAACCCGTAATTTAAAAGGCAGTAGGCACATTCAGGAAAAAGATGGATTAAATTAGAATGGAGAATTGTAAAATTGTAATGGTGTGTAAAATATTGGTTTCATAACCTCATTTGCTTGCATTGGTTAAAAACAACAAAAGCAATAACTAAATGAAATTAAAGGCTGTCATATAATACGAAGCCTACTGAATGTCAAAAACACTTACTAAACGGCATGTTTTTGCTTCCACCAAAAAGGGACATTTACAGCATGATATAATAAAAGTTATTCTGAGCCTTAACTTTACAAACACCCAAGGCTTATATTGCATCTGGTACAAAAGGGCATAAAAGGACTCATTTAAAGGAGCTATTTTGCAAAAAAATACTTTTATAATGGGCTTAAACACAGATGTGTGGCAACAGTGTGTGAATTTTGCCAACCTCTAATGGTAAACATTAATTAATTATTATTTTTTAATCACACTTAATAAAAACAGTCTGCAGAAACACTTGATTGACATTCTCTTTGTACATGTCAGAGGGGGAAAGCAGCAGTCTATACCATTAGAGTTTTCAGACCATACCTGCTGAAGATAATGTCAGGAACTAAGAGGCATCATAAATGTGAAGTTTTAGGATGCAAAAATCAACGCTGAAGTCTACATTGACTGCCTTCCTCTGAGACACTTCTTTTCACATTTTCAGCTTTTCACAGAGATAGGGCTCTATTTTGACGATCCATGCGCAACGCATTAAGGGCATGTCAGAATCCACTTGCAATTTTATAGATGAAAAAATCCGCCTTGCGCCGTGGAGCATGGTCTAACAGGGTTGAGCTTATTCTCTTAATGAGTTACAGATGTGTTTTGAGAATAAACCAATCAGAGTCTCATCTCCCATTCCCTTTAAGAGTCAGTTGCGTCGCGCCATATCGCATCTACTATTTACATGACAGACTTTGTAAGTGGAAAAATTTCACTAGTAAAAAAATTTCTCTAGTAAGAAAACACTTAAACAGAGCATCTACTGGTGAGAATGAGAGATGAGCCTCCTCATTCTTTACTTTCACTTTCACTTTTGTGGATAGGAAAACTAATAGAGTAAGGGAGGTAAGGGAGGTGCACAAATAACGCGATCTGCGCTGGACCATAGACTGGCTTTGATCTGGTCTGTTGAACAGACTATTATAGTTCCCCAAAATAGCAACACACTAGCAATGCGCCTCAACACGCCTCCTTTTTTAGACCAGAACGCCTATGGGCGCACATATGAGCGCAAATGCATTTGCTATTTAAACAGCGTGCTGCAAAACGTCAAAACGACTCTTGCACCAAGCTGAAACTATCAAACAACAATTGCGCCCCGCCTTGCACTGCATTGCGCCGGGTGTGTGATAGGGCCAATAATGTTAGTCCTTTTTTGAACTTGCTGCTATGCTGACACAAAGGCATTTGTAGCTCCACCTTCTTTTGAAAAGTTTGCTGGGTGCACAATCTCAGTTGAATATAAAGCAACAGCCGACAAAACTGCACAATTTGGATCAAAGCCTAAAGGGTGCTGTTTCAAAGTGTTATAAAACATTATTTGTGTGGTATTTTGAGCTGAAACTTCACATACACACTCTAAGGTCATCAGACATTTTTTACGTCTTGTAAAAGGGGGCAAAACATTTAACTATATACTGGCCTTTTGAGACTGGAATGCATTTGTTATTGATTCTTTTTAGTAATTGTCACCATCTCGTTGCAGGATTTCTAAAAACATCCCCACAACTAAAGATGTGGAGCCTCTGCTGGAGATTGATGGTGATATTCGTAGTTTTGAGGTGTTTCTGTCTTCACACACCCCTGTTCTCACCGCTCGTGATGTGGAAATGTTCCTGCCGTGTACTGTCAACCTGGATCCCAAACTGAGGGAGATCATCGCAGGTACAAACCCACACCAACACGACTGTCTAGCAGGAAGGACATGCTATCAACTGGGTTTTATGTAAGGATGCTAATCAAAACTAAAATGCTTCAGTGATAGATTGAAAAATATTTACACATGACTGAATTGTAGGGCCGGGACACTAAATCAATATTTTATTGATTAATTATTTTTAATATTCAAATAACCGCTTAAGGGTTTTTTTTAAGAGAGTATTCTTAATTATTGTAGTTATTCCGGACTGAACAAGTCGTGTATATTTATAGACTTGTGCATTGTAATATTTTGTATTTAAATTTATATATATTTTGTGCAGGTTTTATTTACTGTTATAAACATATTACATCAGTCATATTTCTTTAGTGGTTTTCCCTGGTAAGATACTAGCAGGCTGAGTAAATAGCTAAAGCATTGGCCTTGATAGTTTGATGTAAATGAAAATAGTTTCAGATTCTTGAAGTCTTGAGCGACTGCTACATTCATCTTTATTTTATTTTCTCCACTTCACAGAAATGTATTAACGCAGGAAAGGAGCTGTTTTGTGGTTAAGTGCTTTCACACCTAGACATTTGTTTCTGAACCTGGCTTGTTTGCCCAGTTAGCGCGGTTTGTTTGGCATATGTGAAACCCACAATCAATTGGTCCAAGATCGGCTGAGTGAGGTGGTCTGAGCTCGATTGAAATGAAATCTGGAGCAGATTGATTGTAGTGAGAAAGCAAAATGATTCAATGAACTAATGAACCAGGCTATATCACAGTGTGTTTTGGTTATGTAAAAGCCATATACAGTTGAAGTCGGAATTTATAGCTCCTCTGAATTATTATCCCCCCTGTTTATTTTTTCCTCTAATTTCTGTTTAACAGAGAGAAGATTTTTTCAACACATTTTTAAACATGATAGTTTTAATAACTAATTTCTAATAGCTGATTTATGTTATCTTTGCCATGATGACAGTAAATAATATTTGACTAGATATTTTTCAAGATACTTCTATACAGCTTAAAGTGGCATTTAAAGTTTTTACTAGGTTAATTAGTTAAACTAGGCAGGTTAGAGTAATTAGGCAAATTAATGTATAATGATAGTTTGTTCTGTAGACTATCGGGAAAATATAGCTTTAAGGGGCCAATAAATTTAATAACCTTAAAATGTTTTTTAAAAAAAATAAAAACTGCTTTTATTCTAGCTGAAATAAAACAAATAAGACTTTCTCCAGAAGAAAAATATATTATCAGACATACTGTGAAAATGTCCTTGCTCTGTTAAACATCATTTGTAAAATATTTAAAAAATAAAAAAATTCAACGGGGGTTTAATAATTCTTTATTTTGTGATAGATTTTTGTCGTATATACTGTATGATTTTTTGGTCATATTTCCCAGCCCTGTTTTGAAGCAAAAAACTGTAAAGATAAGAAACTACATTTCATTTTTTTTCAATTGACATAAGCACAATCATTCCTTGCTCTTTGCTAGTTATATTTTGAAATGAACATGAATGAACATCTTACATCACTTGTAATCGCTCAATTAGTGTTTCAACCACAGAAAGACATCAGTGAAACAGCTTGTAAACAATGTCACATAGCATTACATTTACCTCAGGCAAATCACTCAGTGTCCATGGCTTGAAATTCACTCAACAGAAGAGCATTCCTACAAATATTTGCTCTATAGTGTCCTAGTTATTTAAAGTGTCTGGCTTTAAAAAAAAAAAAAAAAAAAAAAAAAACAGGCTATTAGAGCCAATGTGCAAATTATTATGTTATAATGCAACAAATTGGAGTTGAGGTGGCACAGTGGCTTAGTGGTTAGCACTGTCACCTCACAGCAAGAAGGTTGCTGGTTTGTGTCCCGGCTGGGTCAGTTGGCATTTCTGTGTGCATGTTCTCCCAGTGTTGGCTTTGGTTTCCTCTGGGTGCTCCGGTTTTCCCAACAGTCTAAAGACCTGCATTATAGGTGAAGTGGACAGACAGAATTGGCTGCAGTGTATGAGTGTGTGTGTAATTGAGTGTGTCTGGGTGTTTCATAATACTGGGTTGTGGCTGTAAGGGCATTCGCTGCATAAAACATATGCTGGAATAGTTAGTGGTTCATTCCTCTGTGTTGACCTCTGAAATAGAGACTAAGTCGAAGAAAAATAAATAAATGAATGAAGCATAATTTTATGACTTGATTTAGAAAATACTATAATATTGTTAAATAATGTTTGAGTACAGTGTTTTGGAGTGTTGAATTTGGTCTCTGTTTTTAAACACTTCTTAAGGCAAAACAACAGCAGATGAATAGAGTAAAAAAACAAATGGCTTCCACTTTACTTCTCCAGTCTATTGATTTACAGTTAAAAAAATAAAAATCACTATATGTTTTCACAAATGTTATTTTAATATGCAAATGAGACATTTATTTACTCCTTGCTACTTTGCATACATTTCTAGCACATTAAAACTGAATAATCTTTTTTAATCTCTTTTTTTTGGACATATAAGAGCACAAACTTTTTACAGAAATGATTTTGCAAATCTCAATCACACTATAATTCAAAATGTACAGACAAGAGATATATAGCACAATAAAGTGCATATTTTGCAGAAATGTAATCGGCAAATTATGTATAAGCTTATCCTTCTGTGAAACCTTCAGAACATTGATAATTCAGTAAAGTTTTTGTTGTAATAGCTGAAGCAGGAGATTTATGTGAGGAAAAAACTAATTTAAAAAAAAAAGGCCTTAAAATTGTAATTGAAATCCATTGAAACAAATTGATCCGCTGCAATTAAAGAAACACCTAAAGGTGCAATTTGGAAGTTTTATTTTCATTAGTTTTATAGGGCTGCACAATCTGATATTGCCATTTTTTTTTTTCTACAATGAATATTGTGATATGAATACTACGGAACCCCGGAAGGGACGTAGTGGAGGAGAAAAAAAATGGGTGGGTGAAAAAAAAATAATGGGTGAAAGAAAAAAAATGGGTGGGAGGAAAATATATTTTTCTAAGTTTTTTGCGTTCTCTCGCAAAGTTTTGCGTTCCCTCGCAAAGATGTTTTGCGTTATCTCGCAAAGATGTTTTGCGTTCCCTCGCAAATATGTTTTGCGTTATCTCGCAAAGATGTTTTGCGTTATCTCGCAAAGATGTTTTGCGTTCCCTCGCAAAGATGTTTTGCGTTCTCTCGCAAAACTGTTTCTCCACAAACACTTCCTGTTCACTGCACTCACGTAAACCCTCCCGTTTTTGCTGAAATTCTCCCATATTTTACCATTCTACCCCACTTTCTTTACATTACTGTGCGCTGATTGTCGCCTTTCACTTTGCAACCTCTGAACCAGTGAATGCATGTTTAAGCGCTGACTGACAGACGCGCTCTATACAATAAACTGATACCAGATCAGCGTCTGTACGCGCCATTTAAAGGGACACTTCTGTTATCAAACAAGTGCGCAGCAAATGAATCTCATGTTTTGTTTAGTTTGATAACAGAGGTGTCTCTGTAAGAATGCACAGATCTATAATGAAAGCAGTCCATTACTTTAGAAACTTCATATTATTCAGTGTATTTGTCTGTTTAAACATACACCCGCTCCTCTGTAAATGGCGTGTACAGACGCTGATCTGGGATCAGTTTATTGTACGAAGCGCGTCTGTCAGTCAGCGCTTATACATGCATTCACTGGTTCATGAGTAGCATACGCACAGTAATGTAAAGAAAGTGGGGTAGAATGGTAAAATACGGGAGAATTTCGGCAAAAACGGGAGGGTTTACGTGAGTGCAGTGAACAGGAAGTGTTTGTGGAGAAACAGTTTTGCGAGAGAACGCAAAACATCTTTGCGAGGGAACGCAAAACATCTTTGCGAGATAACGCAAAACATCTTTGCGAGGGAACGCAAAACATCTTTGCGAGATAACGCAAAACATCTTTGCGAGATAACGCAAAACATCTTTGCGAGGGAACGCAAAACATCTTTGCGAGATAACGCAAAACATCTTTGCGAGGGAACGCAAAACATCTTTGCGAGATAACGCAAAACATCTTTGCGAGATAACGCAAAACATCTTTGCGAGATAACGCAAAACATCTTTGCGAGGGAACGCAAAACTTTGCGAGAGAACGCAAAAAACTTAGAAATATATATTTTCCTCCCACCCATTTTTTTTCTTTCACCCATTTTTTTTTTTTACCCACCCGTTTTTTTTCTCCTCCACTACGTCCCTTCCGGGGTTCCGTAGAATACAGTTTCAGAAGATGGTTTGATTAGCTCTATTTAATGGTTTTCTAACAGCATTCAGATACAGTAATTTAAGAATCACAATACAAAAAAAAATGCTTTTCTTACTCTGTCTCATTTCTAGTTCATATATATATATATATATATATATATATATATATATATATATATATATATATATATATATATATATATATATATAAAACATAACATAACATAAAAATTAGACCAAGTAAAAATATTGTTTAGTTTTCACCATCAGAAGAAATTAAAGAAAGTAAGAAAGTAAAAACTAAGAGTTTTTTTTGCTTTGAAATGTAGATATTTGGACTAGAAACAAGACAAAAATTCAAAAATTTTATTTATTTATTTTTTTTTTTTTTGCATAAATCATAAAAATTCCATATACACACAGTGATTCAAAACAATTCTGTAGCTCTTGGTCAACTATAATGCAGACTTAACTTTGCACATCTTTGTGACTTTTGCAGCTGCATGCATTGCGATATTGATGCTGAATTTATATATTGTGGATCTCTCAATCTCAAAATTGAGAGGTGCATGAAAACTAAACTAACTAAAACTGTCTCGTCTTACAAAAATAAATAAATAAATAAAAACTACAAATGTAGCATTTTTATGCCTCATTTTGCTCACTGCAGTACCAAAAACCTAATTTAATACAAACAGAAACCAGGCTTTAAAACTTCAAACCAAACCAAGGGTGTTTTCAAAAGCATTTGTAAAAGTAAAGTGCAAATTTACCTTGATTTTACATTGCTTTCCTCTCTTTTGTGGAACCATGTTTCAGTAGAATCGAACCTGAGTGCTCTGCTTTGCAAGTACAGCACTGTACACTGTACAACACTAAGGCACCTAGTTTAAGAACTACATGAATTTAAGCCTTTATTTCTTAGTAATCCATTAGTGCATAATGTAAATATAATTAGTGTGAAAAAGAACAACATTTTGTTGTGTTCATTTGACCTAGAAACTATATATTGTAACAGTACGTTTTTGCAGTTTTACAGGGATGTAAGCTGAAGCATGTATTTCCAATGAGCTTACATTAATCATATTACAACCCATATTACATGTTGTTATTTTAATTTCTCTAATCATTGTTTGAGAGGAGATATTATCTCATCACATGATAATGGTCAGCTGGTCTGCTCTTTCAGACAGCCGACGTTGCTTGGTGCAATCTGACAATAGACTGTGCAATAAAGGCTGCTTTGTGGAGCAGAGAGATGAGTAAGGTCTCCATTGTGTTCACCTCAGGAAATGAAACATCACTGAATCGCCATGAGCCGCTTGTTTTCTGAGTCACCCGGCCAGTCTTATTTGGTCTGCCTGGGTGACTCAGAAATACTATTTCCAACTGAACAGAATCTGACGTACGTTTCATCCCTTGAGATTTTTGCGAGCGTTGAAGCTATTCCCATGTTTATTTCTTCCAGGTGCATTTCCCGCTTCTGTTGGATAAAAAGACTAAAATCCGTATTTTTCTAAGCAAATCAAACCACAGAGGCTTTTCTCTTCTCACTGTAACTTACTATAAATGCTGCATTTGGCTGAAGTCGACTGTGAGTGGGAGGATTTGAATGCCTTTAAAGTCCTGGCCAAGATTTGGATCTAACTTTCTCCTACTCTTTCTCTGTGTTTGTGCATCAGATGTACGAGACGCACGCGAGCAGATGCACCTTGGAGGAGTCAGTTTTCCCACACTGCCCTTGCAAGATGCTTCGGTGCGGCCACACTCTGGGTTCGGGCAGCAGTCTTTGGCTTGTTCTCCTACAGGCTCTTTTCCTGGGTCTTTCCCCAATGCTGGAGTGTTGCCCGCCACTCAGCCCCACAGCAGCTACTTCAGTGGGCTTACAGGGCCACAACATCCCTTCTACAACCGGGTGAGACAACAGTCACAAATACTGGCCATTGTGTTAAACAAAATAATGGGAATGAGTATAAAATAAAAGAAGTGGGAATAACGAGGAGTGAATTTGGCCTTCTGGCAAGGCTTTTAAAAAACTATTTTAAAAATGGTTAAAATCACAAAAAAGTTCATGTTAACTTTTACTACTTTTGCTAATACTAATGTTAGTGATAACAATTATTATTATTATTATTATATGTTTCAAAATATTAAATGTAATTATTACTGATTAGCAGTAGTATTCTCAGATTATTAATAATGACATCTACCGCTGACAATAATAGTGTAATATTCTATCAAATAACCTGTGTAATTAAAATGAATATGCCTTAAATGTATATATCTATTTTTATTATTATTATTATTATTATTATTATTATTATCTGTTCTAAAATATTGAAATGTAGTTATTACTGATAAGCAATTTTCCAATACTTCTACTGCTGATAGTAGTACTGTAATATTCTTTCATTTAACCTGTGTAATTAATATGAGTACGCGTTATACATCAATCATTTTATTATTATTATTATTATTATTATTATTATTATTATTATTATTATTATTATTATTATCTGATCTAAAACAATATATTGTAATTATTACTGATTACCAGTAGTATTAAGAATATCAGTAGTGACTGTCTTTTTCCAATACTTCTACTGCTGATTATAATACTGTAATATTCTATCAAATAACCTGTGTAATTACCATGAATATGCATTATAATAAATGTACATAGTTATTATGATGATGATGATGATGATCATGATTATTATTATTATTATTATTATTATTATTATTATTATTATTATTATTATTATTATTATTATTATTATTATTATTATTATTATCTGTTCTAAAATAAAAATATTTCTGATTTGCAGTAGTATAGAGATTATTAATAATAACTGTTTATTTTAATTCTTCTACCGCTGATAATAATACTGTAATATTCTATCAAATAACTTGTGGAATTAAAATGAACATGCGTCATAAATGTATTATTATTGTTATTATTATTATGATTATTATAAATAGTAGTAGTGTATCATTTGTAGTATTGTTATTATTTTTGATTATGAAAAATTAACAAATCTTTAAATCATAAGTATTTCAGTTTACAGTTATTTAGAATAACCTTAAATTATTAGAATAATCAGTCGTAGTCATCATCTATAATAGTTGTTATTCAACTTAAAATTCAACTTAAATATTACTGATGATCAGAAGTACTGATATTATTAATAATGACTAACCCTAACCCTCACCGCAATTCTTCTACTACTGATAATAATAGTGTAATAATCAATAAAATATGTCTAATTAACATAAATATGCTTAACATTAATACATTACTACTAATTACATTAGTATGAATAATAGTAATAATAATAAAAATAATAATAATAATAAAAATTATAATAGTAATAATAATAATAATAATAATAATAATAATAATAATAATGATAAAATTTGGGGTGTGTAATATATAGTATTGTTTATATTAGTTGTTTAATAATTAATAAATCTTTAAATTACAAGTACTGATTAAAGTTTAGAATAACCTTAAAATTAAATTGTATTAAAACAGTCAGTATTTGTCATAATTAATAATAATAATTTATTAATAATAATAATTTTCCCAGTGTTGTGTTGCTGCTGGAAAGGCGTCAGTTGCGTAACACACGTGCTGGATAAGTTGGTGGATCAGTTCGCTGTGGCCACCCCTGATTAATATAGGGACTAAGCCCAAAAGAATGAATAAATGAATAATAATAATAATAATAATAATAATAATAATATCAATAATATTTATAATAATAACAAGTATAATTATATTAATGATGGTGATAATAATAATAATAATAATAATAATAATAATAATAATAATAATAATAATAATAATAATAATAATAATAATTTGTCAAATATTAATAAATACACCATCTCTAATAAATCTTCAGTCTTTTCATTGTATGTCACAAATGGTTATCCTTTCACTGAATACCTGATGTGTGGCTGACCCTCGCTGGACCCTCATTCATCAGATTCCTGAGCATTTGTCTGTTCTCTCCACCTCTATAGCCTTACTTCCCTCATCATGTTTATCACCTGCCCCGAAATTACCCCGGCCACCCCCATCACGCCCCCACCCGCCCTGCTTCTAAACTCCACAAGGACCCCGGTCTGGGACTAGTAAGTACATAAGTAAATGCTTCAATATGTTTACCACAAACAGACACGTGATTCAGTGTCTGCGACCACAATACACTCTTTATGTCTAATAATGCTAAATGTATTTCTCCCTATTTAAGCTTTGTTTCAAGCTCCTCGTGACAAACAGCCTATGGCTTATAGGCAATAAGTGCACCTAACTCACAGAGCAGTTTAAGGGTTCAGTGTCTCTGTGTAATGAGCGTGTAATGTCATTTTCTATATAGGGAACATACTGTATGGTTTTGAAGTGGATTCCTCTGACGTCTTTTTACTCTAAAAATGGACATAATTTAGTTGAAGATAACCTTTACCATCCTTTTCTCTGTCTTAAACAACTATCCTACTGTTACATTAGAACTGTAGTATCTAAAAGGAATTAGGATTTGCTAATATACTGCATGGGAAATGAGTAGTCGTTTATTTGTAGCACAATTTAAAAAGATAGTTCACCTAAAAATGGTCATTTACTCACCTACGCAAACATTTATGGGTTTCTTTTTCAATAGAGTACATGCTCAGCTAGTCTTTCCCATACTGATAAACTTCCGGTGAATGGTTAATGTGACTTTTTTCCATTTTATATTGTAGTTTTTTTGCGATCCAGCAAAATTCTTAATTAAATGCAAAATAATCGCAAAAAAATCTAAGTAATCTCATTAAACATCCAATTCCAGACCATATAATTAAACTATATTCATTTCAGTTTGCAATGAATTGTTTTACATGACTTATAGTCGGGGTGAAGCAGTGGCGCAGTAGGTTGTGCTGCCACTTCACAGCAAGATGGTCGCTGGGTTGCTGGTTTAATCCTCGGCTCAGTTGACGTTTCTGTGTGGAGTTTGCATGTTCTCCCTGCGTTAGCCTGGGTTTCCTCCGGGTGCTCCAGTTTCCCCCACAGTCCAAAGACATGCGGTACAGGTTAATAAGCTAAATTGTCCGTAGTGTATGAGTGTGTGTTTGAATGTGTGTGTGGAAGTTTCCCAGAAATGGGTTGCGGCTGGAAGGTCATCCGCTGCGTAAAAATGTGCTGGATAAGTTGGCGGTTCATTCCGCTGTGGCGACCCCGGATTAATAAAGGGACTAAGGCGACAAGAAAATGAATGAATGAATGAATGAATGACTTATAGTCATCGCAAACGCAGCGCATGTGATGTATTTGAGTCTCTCTTGTAAAATGATGGCTCACCTGTGCCCTCACAATCATTACATTAAATGGGAGGGATGGGGAGGTTGGTTACAGCTTGTGCAGTAAGCAGACTCAGATGAAGCGCGAGTGATTTACATGTGAAGTCAAAGCAAAGATGAGATATGAGATCTTGTGGCGCGAATTAGGCGTTTTGTGCGTTTGATGCACTTCAGACTGCAAAAGAAAGTTGGAGGGAAGCGCTAACGCATGCCCTATGTGTGGCATGATGTCTGATGCTCCGGGGAGTAAAATCTAAGAGAAAGTAAGATCGTGGATAAAAAATAAGTGTAGTACAACCTTCCTGTAGCTTAATCCCTTTTGTTTTAGATCATGACTTGACAAGACACTAAAATAAAGAAGCTTTATTTTTATGATTTGTGTCATTGTTTTAGATTTCATACTTAACGTTCTATAGTGTTACCTTTATGTATATACTTTTAATCGCAAAATTGTTGCAAATTTCTGGGAATTACCAACACAACATAGGTAATTTTTATGTAAAACAATTACAAAAAAAAAAAAAATGTGGAAAACTAGGGGGTCTGTATAATCAGTAAAATAGACTCAAGCATTCATTTTGTTGTTCAAACATAAACTTAGATAAATGTGATGCGTTTTAGACATATTGAAAATACTGTGGTAAAATAAATATCCATATTTTAAATATATGGCGTGGAAAAATGTTCATTCTTGTACATTCTGAGACCCACTTTATATTGTATATCAATCAGGCAGTGATTTTTAAAGAAAACATACTTAAACACGCTGATTTTGTAACGACATACAAGTCACTGGAAGTGTTTCTCTATTTGATCATTTGAAAAAACTAAAGTCCTTCTGCATATACCCTAGTGCAGTGGTTCTCAAACTTTTTCAGCTGAGGACCTCTTTGTTTAGGGCAAATCCTTTTGGGGTCCTCCAAAAATAAAAACGAATTAACAACTTTACTTAAAACATTTTAAATTGTACTATTCATGCTCTGGATTAATTTTTGTGAGATGTCAGTTGAGTTGACATGCTTTCAGGGTATCAGTTAACTTACTTAGCAGCGTAGGCCAAGTGCTTTCAGCCACCAATAATGTTCTTTTTAAGCTTAAACGACATGAAAACATAAGCAAAACGCAAACATCGTCAGGAGCAACAGACAAACGCCAAAAATCACTGGAAGCACCCGACCAGGAGTGCTTACTTATTAATCCACGTGCTTTTGCTGCATGCAAAAGTATCAACTGCATTTAAATGACACAAACATAAAACTTAGTATTTGTGGTACTTATGAGCTCAAATTATAAAAACAGAAACAAATTAACCTTCAGGATGACGCGGGACAAAAAATTAATCCAGGTGGGCCTATTAATTGCCCCTCATCTCCAATTTTTGGTTGGCCCCCAGTTTGAGAACCGGTGCCCTAGTGAACACAATATGTTAGTTTGAAAAAATTGATAACCATCAACTAACAAGGTTTGAATCAGGTAAATGACAACAGTATTTAGATTTTTGGGTGAACTCTGCTTTTGTTGTTTCCTGCTTATTACATTATAATTTGGGATGTCCAGAACCAATCTCGAATATCAGTATAGAGACATGTTTAACTGATCTGATTCTTAAAACCAAGTCTTACGTCAACCTGCCATGCAGTTGTCATGAACAGAGAGTAAACATTGTGATAGGAATGCATGGATAAATTGATTGCTGTAAAAATATAAACACAGTCCAATAACAGCAATGCTAATGTATGACATGGAAGCATTGTACAAGGTGATATCAGCAGTGTTAGAATAAACCAATTTGACACATAAAAGCTAAACGCTTAACAAAACACAACATGTTCTCTCAGGTAACTCATGCGAAGACGTGATGCAAAACACTGTCACGAACATTGAAAAAGGGCTGTAATTGCTATCACTTTTTCACTTTCATTGGGAAACCAAATTTGAGAAAATTATGGAGCAGCCCAACTGTTAACATTGATTTAAAATTTAAAGGGATATTTCACACAAATATTACAAGTCTGTCATCATTTACACACCCTTCACATGTCACAATCATGTCTGAGTTTCATTCTTCTGTTCTTTCTCAAAAAAGTTGGAAACTGAGCAAGCCACTGGTGTGGAAGCCACTGAAGCCATTGGCTTCCATAGTATTTAGTTTACCTTCTAGGATGTCAGTGGTTACAGGTTTCTAACATTCTTCAAAATATCATTATTTTTTGAAAATATCATTACTGCAAAAAAAAAAAAAAAAAAAAAAAAATAGAGAGTGAGTAATTTATGATAACTCTTCAGTTGTGGTGAACTGCCCCTTTAAGAATTAGATCCAGCACTTAGGATTGCCAATGAAGTTGAAACAACGCCACTTTTTAGTGTCAAATTGTTTTGTGTTTATATATGTTTACACATGAACATGAATACACATATATATATTAGTGCTGTCAATCGATTAAAAAAAATTAACTAATTAATCGCACCTTTTTAAAATAATTAATTGCGATTAATCGCATTTAAAATACTGAAACTTGTAATTCTGCCTATTTAAATGTAAAATTAATGTAAATGCAAGAAAAAAAATATTTAAATTCAAAATATTATTGTTTAATAGAATTTCTGTTTAACTTGTAACACAGATTTCTTCATGTAAACAACATACCCACAATAAACCATCAAGATCCTGGCTTGACAGCCATATTTATTACAGAAATGAAAACGCAGGCATGTTAATGACATTTAAATTTCAAAACAATCAATGCCAATAAAGAAAACATTGATTTCCATGTTGGATTCTTAGTGGACTGCAAAAAAATGCCAGAATACAGGAATTGCAGATATGGAAAATGAAAAATTATAATAAACTATAGAATACAAACTGTTGCACTCATTGTAAAGTTTTATTGCTGTGAGTTAAGAATATTAGTTATAGAGTAGAAACAATTTTGCTTAATCCTCCTTTACATTCATCCAGTTGCTAAGACTAGGAGTATCCCGCAAGTGCACAGAGACTCCTAAATGCCCGCAAATGAATGATAATTTCTTGCAAACCGGTCGTTAAATACATTGCACACCCCTCTCGCCCCTATTCAGATACGTCGCTCACTCCACCCCTGACACCCCTCAACGGGCCTGACACAGACACACACACACACACACAGACACACACAACGCGCTGCAGACGTTTTGGCCCCAACGGCCTTCCATACTGGAGCGACTCCCCTCAGATTCAACACGCATGATCGCGTTCATCAAATTTGCTAAGCGTCCTAAACTAAGCGTCCTAAAGTATTACTGTATTTCACAAGGATTCTAACACAACAACGCGAAGCATACGCTTTCGTTGGGTTTAATGAGGAAACGCGTTAAACTTGGAGGGCTCATGCTGAAAGGCAGTGTAATGCCCTGTCTTTGACAGCTCGCGACTTCACCAGACGTTCTGAGTACATTTACATAAGACACCAATACTCCGATTTTAATATTATTAAGATTATATTCTTATTAAAATTTATCATGTAGCCTTAAAAGGAACCTTACCTTAAAGGAACACCGAGTCACGAAATGCGGAGGATTTTCTTTCTGTTCGCCATGCGGTATCAACTTACAACAGATGTCGAAAGTTAAAAATGAAACACCCGAAATTGCATGAAACTCTTGATAACCTGTGATGCAACTAATTGTTTTATACTGGAACTTGCCTTCAAAAAGTGCTTCCTTGGTCTTATCCACATTTTTTGCATGTTGAACACACGTCCACCACAACAGGAAGTAAAAAAAACCTGAACTGCGTTAATTTCGTTTTTTTTTTTTTTTTTTTTTTTTTTAACGCATTAATTATTTAAAATTAATCGCATGCGTTAACGCGTTAATTTTGACAGCGCTAATATATATATACACTCAGAGCAGTGTGATATGGCTGTATATCAGCACTGGTGGGAGGCGTGCAGTGCCCCCACCAGTGCCGATATACAGCCATATCGCACTGCTCTGAGTGTGATATTGTGTTTAAACAACAGTTTGACGACATAATTGTGTATATAAAAACAAAATCAAACATGGAGAGTCTCAAAAACCCTTTTGTATGAGGAACTACTTTCTTCCGCATTGGATTCAAATCATAAGGTGACAGTTAAACAGCTGTTAAAACAGTTAAAAGCATCTTTTAAACTTTAGATCTGTAGTGTCTGCTTTTTGCTGGCTTTATGTGGGCGGAGTAATACACAAAGGGTAAAGAGGCTGTAGGAGTTCTGATATTGCAGAATATCGCACGGCTATCAGCCAATCAGATTTGAGAACCAGACAGAACTGTTGTATATATATATATATATATATATATATATATATATATATATATATATATATATATATATATATAACTTAATTTATATATGCATACTTCACATCTGTTGATCTTAATATTCCTAAATCTCAACAGGGAATAGATGCTGATGTTTTGGATCTGTGTGTTTGTATTAGTTTTACTATAATCCTACACTAAGATCAGATGTTTTCATAATAAGAGGAAATAGATTTGTTTATTTTGTAAAAAAAAAAAAACAATAATAATAAAATGTAAAAAATATTATGTTTTATATACCAATTTATCACAGAGCCATGCATTTGTTATGATGCAGTATGCACTGACTTCATTAGATGACCCCGATCAGACTGACAGCACACAAAAAAAGCTTTAGGACATCCCTAATTATAATCTTTATGATTTCTGACTAGCTATTTCAAGAGAACAAACACTCCCTTTCAAAACCCATTGGACTTCTTAAACTTTAGAAATTACAGCTACATTTGCAAAACCTTTCATAATTCTTGTCAATCGTATGCCTGATTCATGTCATTTCCCCCGTCCATACTAAATGTCCATACTAAAGGTGTTTGTTCTGTGAGTGTCTTCTATCCTCTGGCTCTTCCTCTGTCATCCCCACTGTCTCCTTTCATCAGGATGTAATCAGAGAGGACTCCAGTGAGGGTCTTCCCTCTCCTACATCCCCTTCTATGGTAACTTTGGCAGTGTGTATGTATGTGTTCGTATATGTAAAAGATGCAGTAAAGGCATTGCCTGAAAACACACATACACACACATATACACTTATAATGCTGGTGGCATGCTACATTTATCTGGCTGTTTTGTTTCTGTCTATGCTGCTTAAAATCTAAAGCTTGATGTAAAGGTTGAACAAATCTTAAGTGTTCAGAGATACAAATGCTGGACCTCAGTTTCTCTGTTTTAATTTTTCATTTAATATTTCAGTGCATGTTTGAATTAAGTGCATTACAAAATCAATTTGTAAAAGAGTGCAGTGGCTGAAGTTGCATCTCAATGAAGTGTGTGTGTTGAGTTCTCGCTTAAAAATGATGGTTTCAAAAAAGGCATTTGTAGTGATGCCTTAAATTTTTGGTTCTACAGAACCTTTCAGTAAGTAGTGAACATTTTATTTGAATATGAATGTATTCCTTCTGAAACAAAATGTTTCAATAAAACAAAATAATAAATAAATAATTAATAATAAAAAGAGTTTTATTTGTCACATACAGAGTCATACACAGTGTGATATGCAGTGAAATGCTTACACAACCACCCCTGACTTAAAAATAATCACAAAAATAACTATAAGTATGTAAATTATAGAGAAATAGATTTTATGCAATAGAAAATAAAAGCAAATATAAAATATTTAAAGGGTCACGAAACACCAAAACACATTTTTTGAGCTGTTGACAGTCATATATGTGTCCCACACTGCTAAGAACACTATTAGGACACCTATATTTCACTAAAAAGTGTAAATTGGTTGTTTTTGCGTTATTTCAAGCAAATTCGTACTTCCTGTTTGAAACAAATTTTTGAAGCTGCGTCACGGTCATGACATAATAGCGTGTATTCCAGCGTGCAGACTGGACGTCTGTGCCAGAGTGTGCCTTATTACGTCTTACAGTGTGTTGCATTAATGCATGAGTAAGACTTGGTTCAAACCAATCAGCGCGCTCTATTGTGCAACTTCATTAATATTCATTAGTGTCACCGTCTTTACACCACAGAGACGCCACGTTGTGTTGGCAAAACAAGCGTGAAGTGTTGCTTTTACAGTTTGCTGCAGTGAAGTTTTGTTTTCATTTTCTCTCTGTGAGAGTTTATCTGGATCACGTGTGGATTACAGAGTACGCGACGCTCGACAACAATAATTTACGTGTCTAAGGGGGATTATTGTTTACCTGAGAGCTGTTCTCATCTGCAAACGCTGAAATCCGGATTACGGATGTAGTCTTCTCTTCATAAAGACGCGGCTCTAGTTGCTGGTGATTGTTCTGTCTCTACAGATTTGGTAAGTGAGCGACCAGTGCTCTTTGTATATTCAGTTTGTTCGTATCAAATAAGTTAACTATTGCATTGAGTGCAAACATGTTAGCACCGCATTTTGTGACCGGAATAACACACGCGGCTTTCGGACGCTACCTGCCGTGTGCATCTAAGTTTCCGGGAAATGCGGAGTTTTTTTTCTCTCATTCGCCGTGCGGTATCAAACATTGCATGAAAAATACACGGTTAGAGCAGATCTTCGAATCAAATATCTCATTTGTCGCGAGGGGCATGAATGAATTCCCTGAATGAAAGAGCCAAACTGCAGTTAAAGTCCAACATTTAATAATTTGGCAAATAATTCGACTACAGATGTCCATGTAGGTTAAACACCATCCCTTTCTCCTGTGTATTTTGACTGAAACTCGCGCGTGCCCAAATAGACACTCCCACACCCTCCCACTTTAGTTTCTCCGACACTCCCCCCTAAACAGAGCTGGACACCCCCACTTTTCTGACTTTTTCCAAAGAAGAGGTGTGAAAACACCCTGCTGAAACGAGGGGGTTTCATGGCCCTTTAAAGACTTTCCATACACTGTAATACCCAACAGTCAACTTTATCAAATGAAATGAGTGTAGTTAACTCAAAATTTACTGAAAGTTCATTGTACTCAATTGAAAACAGTTTTGAACTCAGTGTTGAAGGTAATGGGTTAATTAAATACCTCATTACTTCAACTTAAATGAAGTAAATTAACAGTACTCATGTAGATTAGTTTAACTCAAATGGTTTGTAGCACTCAGATTCCTTAAACGGTTTGAATTGCCTTAACTTATTGGGTTTTACAGTACTCAATTGGTTTGAATTCTCTTCATTTATCGAGTTTTACTGTGCTCCAAATGCTTTGTTTACTCAGATTCCCCATTATGATTAGTTTTTGAACTTAAATGGTTTGTTGCAATCGGTTTTCTTAGTTTATTTGAGTTACCTTAACTTATTGGGTTTTACGGTGTAGTATTAAGCAAAAATGTTTTTTTATATTAAGAATCATTTTCAACTGTAAAGAGCATTTTTATTTTTGTAAAAAAATTTGTATTCCTGTGAACAGAAAAAATTGAAAATTCTGTCATCATTTGCTCATTTTACGCTTGTTTGAATTTTCTTCCATTGAACACAAAGAAAGATCTATTGTAAAATGTAAAAAGACAATTCATCAGAATGACGATCAATACCAGACAAAGAACTAAACCAAACTAGGGGTATAAATACATAAGAACTAATGGAACTGAATACATACAGTGATGTAACACAGGTGGAACTAAACATTAATAATGGCGGAACTAGAACAAAGGGATCACATGACATAAATAAACCCACATGGAATACTGGGGCATGGGAAAAAAACACAGAAAGCACATGGAACCAGGAACCCTGACAAACATAGTATTTATTTTGTTCCTACTATGAATGTTGATGGCTGTTTTTTACAACATTCATCAGAACATCTTTTTTTGTGTCCAACAAAAGATAGAAATTCGTAAAAGGTCAGAGCCATGTGAGTTCAAGTGAACGATGAAGATATTGTAACTATGGGGTGAACTATCCCTTTAATGTCCTAATGAAACCATCGATACTGATAAAGAATCTTTATTTAATAAGAGGTAATGAACCTTAAGTTATTATTAGTGTAAAGAATATGTTGATTCTGGCTTTTCTTAATGATAAGATGATTATTTGAATGTTATTGCTAGAAACTGATCAAAATTAAAAGAAAAAGCTGATAAAAAAACTAAGAAAGCATCAAAAATGAGCTGCAGCTTCAAAGTTTTACATACCAAAATTAATGAAACCATTCAGTTCTCATGGAATCTGGAAAATCAAACACACATTTTGGTCTCAGCATCAATTAAACTAGCAATTATAATTTAAATACATAGAACGTTTATTAAATGCAAGTGAATTTTATCACAATAAATAGCAAAATATGGGCAAAATTGTTTTTCATGAATGTAAAAATGAAACCGCTTACATATTCTGACATGTTGATTTAATAAAAGAAGAGATCATGCTAAATTTCATTATGTTTGAACATTTTAGATGTGTCTTATCTGACAAATGGGTTAATCCTAGTTGTTTGAAGGATTGTGGCAAAGAAAAAAGGTTTAAAATGACAATTAATTACTATTTTTGAGCATGCACTGAGATTTTTAAATGGAGTCTTTTAATGTCAAATGATCAAATGATGCTTGATGAATTGTTTTAATGCCTGAAGCCCTGTGTTGGGGAAGATACTCTGAAACTCTAGCGTAATTAGCTACAAGGTGCTCATCAGGTAAAGCTAAGCTACTGTCCAACTACACTTCTAAAACAGTAGCTACACTGTAAAAAACATCTGCAATTAGTCATTCATGTTTTTATTTTCCCTGTTTATTTATGCTTTTTAATTGCTTTATGGGACGTTGAACTTTTTTTCAATAATGTTTTAAATTGTAAAAATCAAAAAAGTGACTTTTTTTTAAACATTTTTTTAAATAGTTTAAAGTTATATTTTATCTGTGACTGGGTTGGTGTTGTATATTATGGTACAAAAGCTTGATATGAACTGTCAGTACATTTTATTTAACTTTACAGACTTATTTCTCTATATATTATTTATTATACATTACATTATTTCAAACTGGTCAATAAAATGTCAATAAAAGTCACTTTGTTTATTGTAGAGATGAATATTCTACATCAAAAGTTAACAGAACAGAGATCGGAAAACTGAAAAAAAATTGTGAATCAGAAAATGTGGAAACTGTTAATCTACAGATATTTTTTTTACAATGTAGCTACATTACAATTTGCTTTCTAAGCATAGCTGGAAACAATAAAGCTACTTTTATTTTATTTTTTTACTAAGGTGTATATTACACAAACATGAATAAATGTGAACAAAAGAAAGGAACAAAAAACAAAGGAACAAAAGACTACCAATTTTGACAAAAAAGAAAAAAAAATAGTTGGGAATAATAAACCAAGATTGGTTAGGAATCTATTAATCCAATTAATTTTAGAAACAGATTTTTGCTTCCTGCCCTTCATCTGAATTTCGTGCATTACCAGAACCACGTAAGTGCAAACAACATATTTAGCTATTATCAAGCTACTTGCTAAATAAAAGTAGCTATTTACTGGAAAAGCTATTGTATTGCTGCTGAGCTACTGAAAATAAAATGTAGTGAAGCTAGCAGCTACCAACAGTGCTGAAAACCCTATTCCTATTTTAAACATTCAATACTATGGGCAGTTAAATGATCTTTATCTTTCCAAATAAGCAATTGCTGAATTTTTGATAATCTCAAAATAGCCAAATATTGGCTCACTGAGGTCATTTAATCTTCTCAAATTAGACAGATTACATCCCCAAACATCAGCTCTGCCCTCATATTCTGCACCTCTGTCTTTGCCGGAGTCAAGCTTTGCCTCTGGATTTTCTCTCTTCGTTTTCTGCCCACCTTCCTTTAGCTCTGCTGTTTTGCTCTTTCATCATTTGATCCGCTCTCTGCTCTGTCCCCCCATCGCTGCTTTGTTCTGCATGGTGTGAAAGGCTGCTGCTATCAGAGTCTGGCTGGATTAGCATCAGCGGTGCTGGGACGGGGCGCTCAATGAGGCCGCTCTTATCAGCAGAGAGAGCCGCTTCCTTCAGCGAGCACGTCTGTTTCCTCCTACCGCTAATTACACTCTTATCGGCCTGCTCGAAACACTCGCCCATCAGGGTGGAGCCGTTTTGGAATTAAACAACTTCTTCTTGTCGTGAAAAAAGTCCTCTTCATTTCAGATGTTTTCAAGTTGATTATATAAATTGATTCAAAGTCAAGTATAACTAGAACATGTTTGAATCTGTATGCTTATCTAAATAATATTAATTAGTGTAGCGAATACTTCTTTATAGGAAATTTCTGATTGGCTGCGACTTTTCAATTTATCTGAATTGAACAACTTGTGGGCTTGTTAATCTGTTGCAGTTTTTCTGAGGCCTAAATCGAATCAAAGCTCAACTTTAACATCAGCTTGTTTGAATCTAAATGCAAATCAGTGTTTAGCAAACAGGTGAAAGCTGTTAGCCAATATTTATTCATAGGCTATTGTGATTGGCGGCTGCTTTTCAAGTATTCAAGATTAAACAATTTATTTATTTTTATCTAGTCTAAAAGTTCTCACAGTTTTGGCTTTTTAAAGGCCTATTATATAAACTGATTCAAAGTCATCTCGACTTTAACATCAACTTGATTGAATCTAAATTCAAATTGGCTTTTAGTAAACAGGTGAAAAGTAGTAGCCAATATTTATTCATAGGCTATTTCTGATTGGCTGCTGCTTTTTAGGTATTCTAAATTAAACAACTTCTTGTCATGGAGTTGTGAAAAGTCCTCTCTGTTTCAGCTGTATCATGTCATTTGAATCAAAGTGTAATTTTTAACCATTATCTTGTTTGAATCTGAATGCAAATCCGGTTTTAGCAAACTGGTGAAAAGTATTAGTGAGAATAGCCAATATTTATTCATAGGTGGTTTCTGATTGGCCGCTGCATTGAGTGTATTCTGAATTATTGAACTTTTTTAAATCATGGAAAATCCTCTTTTATTCCTCTGAGGCTTTTTAAAGGTCTGTTATATAAACTGATTCAAAGTCAAGCTCAATATTTAAAGGGATAGTTCACCCAAAAAGGACAACTGGCTCACAGTTTCAAAATGTTTGTGATGATGAGTTTCAAATGAGTTTTAAAACTCACCCTCAAATGTTTTTTAAACTGTCTCATTTTTTTTTCTTCTGTAGAAGATAACAACAACAACAACAAAAATAATAAAAATTCTGTAACCACCGACATCTATGATAGAGAAAACAAATACTATCAACATACAGTATGCTCATTCTGAAACTGTATCCCTATATACATTTCTGGAGATTGGGAATTATGTAGCCACAAGATTGACATGTTTAGATGTTATTATCATTATTATTATTATAATTATGTGTATATGTCGGTAAAGTGTTCATCTTGCGCTTTGCTTCAAACCGCATGTGCAGACTCTGTTTGAAAAACAACGTCTATTTATCACTATGTACCGCGTCTTACAGTCACTCCTTGCTATATGGGAAAGCTAGGTTGTTGCCAGAAGTGGTGTTAGTGAGGCCAGCAAGGGGGTGCTCAACCTCTGATCTGTGTGGGTCCTAACACCCCAGTATAGTGAAGGGCACTCTATGTTGCTCAGTGAGCGCCGTTAAAGCGAGGTCCTGACTCTCTGTGGTTGTTAAAAATCTCAGAATTTCCTTCGAAAAGAGTAGGGGTTTCCTGGCCAAATTTGCCCACTGGCCTCTGTCCATCGTATCCTCCTAAACATCGCCATTTCATAAATGGCTTCATCACTCTTTCTCCTCTCCACTAATTAGTGTGGTGTGTGGTGCGTAGTCTGACACAATATGGCTGCCGTCACGTCATTTAGGTTGGTCATTAACTGTTGGGTTTAGGGAAGTGGGTGGGCGGGTCAATCTGTGCTTTTGAAAACACTATTAGTTGGGTTTAGGGAAGGAGGAGGGTGGGTCAGTCAGTCATTCGGTCAGTCAGTTAGTTAGTCAACAGCGGCCTTATTTAGTGGATTTATGCGAGAATAGCTGACAAAATTGCTCTTGAGAGAAATTTGAGATCTTAAAAAGGGTACACAGCAGCCTCTCGTGGATTCGTGAAAACAAAAACTGCAAAAAAAAAAAAAAACAAACGTACCTCCTGGGACGTATTTGGCGCTCTTCAGAAATGTATATAGCGGTACATATTTAGAATTCTGGATTGAATACTATGGAAGTCAATGATTACAGGTTTTCAGCTGTCTTCAAAATATTTTCCTTTCTGTATTCCAGAAGAAAGAAACTCATACAGGTTTGGAACAAATGAAGGGAGAGTAAATGATTACAGAATTTTCATTTTTGACTGAACTATCGCTTTAATGTTGGCTAGTTCAAACCTGAAAGATCATTTTTTAGCGAACAGCTGATTAATATTAATAAATTTAGTGAATCATATAGGCAGTTTCTGGTTGGCTGCTGCTTTTTAAATATTCTCAATTGAACAACTTGTGAAGTTCTCCCTGTTTCAGCTTTAAACTATATTATGTCATTGGAATCAAATGCAATTTTACCATCATCTTGTTTGTATCTAAATGCAAATCAAGTTTTAGCAAATTGGTGAAAACTATTAGTAAGTTTAGTCAATATTTATCATATAGGCTATTTCTGATTGGCTGGTGCTTTTCAAGTACTCTGAATTAACAAAAACAGCAACTTCTTTTTTTTTTGTCGTGGAGTTGTGAAAAGGCCTCTCTGTTTCTGCTTTTCATGTCTATTCTCCAAGAATGCCCATCTGAAGTTCTCTGTTTGATTGGCTTGATCAGATCATTACTGTGAAATCTGTGCAGGTTGGATTCTGTGAAATAGCATCTGTTATAAATGTCGTTGTGTGTATGCTTGATTCAATGATGACTGAAGCATGTGACCTAATCCCTTCTTCTTTCCTCTCGTCCTCTCTCCTCTGTCACTCCCAGATTAAATCTCAGCCCTTCAGAATGAAGCAGGTACAAATGTTTAAACCCTTCTGTTTTGTCATGTTTTACTGTGTCGTTTTCAGATCTCCTGCTCATTTTGGCTTGCTTCATTTAAAACCAGAACAAAATGAACAGCCAGTTCTGTCATTCTGAAATTTCTGTGGCCAAAAGTATGTGAACAATCGAAAATCACATGCTGTCCTGCTCCAGAATGGACTAAAAAGCACAATTACAACTTCTTGAATGTGTGCTATGTTTGAAATGCTTTTAAATTTATTTATTTATTTTTAGTTTTCAATTCATTGCAATTTCATTGAAATGTGAAAGATATCCTTCTCTATACCTTTTTCAGCCTATATAGACACATGCAGATGGTCTTTGTAGAGTGGAACACAGGCCCGTAGCCAGCCTGAAAAAGGGGTGGTTCTTTTTTCTCAAAAAGTGGATCTTTTTTAGTTTTAAGCCTCAATTTTTATTTAATTTTAAAATGTAAGTACTGCATTTGAGTGACATTTTAGGCTGTATTCTGTACTGGTCAGCATAACCACATTTTTTGATGTACCAAATATATTTCCTAAAGATTTATAATAAAGAAATATGAATATAATGCTTATTTTTAAAAAGTACAAATTTCAGACATCATATATAATTAGAAAAAAAACAAAAGAATCACTTAAAATCTGTAGTTTTCTGTCCTTTATTAGGCAAATAACAGAACTGGCCAGCATATTCAACTTTCCTCAGTCAGAACTTGTCTATTTAAAAAAATATAAATAAATATATAAAAATAAAAATAATAAAAATAATAATAATAAATAAAAAAAAATAATAATAATAATAATTATTATTATTATTATTATTATTATTATTATTATTATTATTATTATTATTATTATTATTATTATTATAACAATATAATAATGTAGAGCTTCACAATTTTTATTGCCTCTCTTGTAAAGTAAACTTGAAAGGTCATAGATAACAACAATAGCCAAAATAGTATTTAAATTAATTTTAATATGGGTCACTTTTGGTGCTTCACACCTTTTTATTGGTCATTTTTTGTTTCAAGAATAAGATCCAAAATTTAGAATAAAAATTACTTGTAAAAAGTTTTCTCTATTCAAAAACACTACGGTAGCAAAAGAGGACTTCACTTACATCAGATTGTATGTTTTCTTGCACAGCTAGATGTTGGAAACATGAAATATATTTGTTTGCATTGACCAAAACTGATTAGCTGAAGTCACACTGAAGTGACCGCCAACAGAGGATTCTGCTTGGTCTAAAAGCCTTTTTTGATGGGTTATTTTCACCTTTTATCATTTGGACCTTTGTCAGTGAGGGTTAATTTTTTTTGAATCAACCAAATCCACCCTGGCTATGGGCCTGGAACACAATATATAAATGATCTTAAAATCCTTAACTCACAACTTTCAAAAACGTAGTTTGTCAACTCAAAAATGTCAAATGAAATGTTTTTTTTGTTTTTTTGTTTGTTTTGAAAGAACATTTTATCAGCATGTTATTAAATAGTAGGAAAATACATTGAACACACTGTACTTCAGTCCCTTACAGCTTCATTTTCGTCTCTGTCAGATCTCTGTCAGAAATAGAATACAACTTAAGGTTTATTATACAATTTTAATCGAAGTCAAGTTAAACTTTAACATCAGCTTGTTTGAATTTGAATGCAAATCAGTGTAACCCACCGGTCCTACTGCATCCAACCTGGTCTGAGCTGGGATCGAACTGGCGATTCTTTGCATGGGAGTCGGTTGCTCTAACAAGTAGGCTAAAGACCATGGCCTCTAGCATCTGTCGCTAGAGTACCTTTAGAGGTCAGAGGAGTGAGGTTTACCTACATAGCAATTTACTAGCTGCTCTCCATTACACTCACCCCTCTAAACCTCACTCCTTTCCCAAATGAGCCCCCATGTGTTAACTACCGATCCTACTGCACCCAACTCGCTCTGAGCTGGGATAGAAAACTGGCAATTCTTTGTATGGGAGTCGGTTGCGCTAACAAGGAGGTTAAAGACCATGACCTCTAGCATATGTCGCTAAAGCACCTTTAGAGATCAGCAAAGCGAGGGTTACTTGCATAGCACTTTGCTAGCTGGCCTCCATTACATCAGTGTTTAGTGAAAAATACTCGAATAAAAGTAACATTACTTGCCAAAAAATGTGTTCCATTTAAATAAACATATCTGTTTTAAATACTACTCAAAGTATGAGTAAAAAGTAGCCCTTCTAAAAGTACTCAAGAGTATGTTATCCTTAACAAAATGTTTATGCTTAGGTTTTACACTTTGAACCCTGACTAACAAGCTATGAGTTTCCAGCAAACCAAGCTCACACAGAGCACGTTCAATTTGTGCATGTGTTTGAAAATTTAAAATTATGTAGTGCATTTAGTTATTATTAAAGGTCAATTTCTGGGCAATTTCAATTATTAAGGGCAATTTCAGTCATCTTTCAGTAGGCATCTTCATCTTCTTATCAGTGACATGCAGTTTATACAGTCTTGATCATTGTGTGTAACCATTTTCGTCTTTTAATTTGAATGATTCCACACTGTATGTTTGCTGCAGTTGTAAAGCGTCTGTGTCTTGAGGTTGTTCTTTCTGATGTGATTTTTCTGTGTTGTTTGATTGTATGGGAATCACTGAAATAATTAGTCTGCTTGACCAATCGCTTTAGACAAGAAAAAAAATATACTGCAGTCAAAATACTGATACAAAAATAAAAATACACTCAAGGGCTGGGCGATACAGCTAAAAATGATCATGATATGTTTTATATCATTCGATATTAATAATTATTGAAATTTTTTTAATAATGCATTCTGGAAAATATATTTTTATTTAGCCATTTTATTTTAATTTACCAACATTTCTAAGGCAGATGCTTTTAATAGTCAAAAATATTTAAACAAACTATCTCTTTATCATAAAATAAACAAATGTTAATGAGACTCTTAAACTTATGAATAAGTTTATAATAAATACAAATTTTATTAATAAAATGTTACAAAGTGTGTGCAATGGTAAAGTGTAAATGCTGAACAATCAAAGCAAACTATCAAGTGTGAATAATAATGATACAGTAAACCTCAAACTCTGTAAACAACACAAATTATGATAATCTAATCTGAGCTTTCAAGTAAAGGAACTAACCATCATTATTCAAATACATGTTGCAACATTATAAATTACCCCGTGCTAAAAACTCTTTCAGATGGGAGCTAGTGGCTGGGATGCACAAAAAAAGTACCCAAAAAAGCCATTCTGGCGACATCCTTACATTCTTTCTTTTTCAATCTGCTCACTGCTGCTATACGGCACACATTTTGGTGCATGTTATTCTGACCTAAGGTGGCGATGACCCAACTCAAAGATCGCAGATAAGTCAGTGGATACGTTCATAATTTTCAATGAGCTTTGAGCTCTGCGCTCCACAGTCGTCTTTTTTAGTAAATAGACATCATCAACCATTTTCTCAGAGGATGACAAACGGACAAATCATTGCTGCAGCTCTAATACTGCTGAAGTTTATGAAGAAAATAAAAAAAGCACTACAGTGGATGAGTGCTCTGTGTTTGTCTGAGGTAGTTAGTCTACGTTACTAAAATGTGTATATAACATACAATGTGTGAAGCAGATTGGTTAGTTCTACTTACATGATTCGCAGTGCACTCGTGGCATTCTGGAAAATTTAGATGTTTTTTAACTAGGTGTGCCTGGAAAATGTGCGTGCATGCCGCTTGCACACCATGTGCGTGTCGCTCCCTAGTCTTGTGCCTCCGTTGGAATTGACAAACTTGCACCCTAAGCTTATTGACACTTCTTTCAAGGTGCGTGCTCAACAGCCACATTTTCATAAAACTATAGCACTTTATACCAAAACTTCATACTAAACTTTTTTTTTTATCGTTATTGACAATGGTGTTCAGTCGATAAATACCAATACTGATTTTGTCGCCCAGCCCTATACACAAGTAAAAGTAAAGTACAATTCCTGAGAAAAACTACTCAGTAATTTGAGTATCTGTAACTGGTTACTTCACTGTGGTCAGATGCATATTAATTGTGAATATAGTGAAAATGTCTTTAAAGGCTCTTTCTGATTGGCTGCTGCTTTTCTAGAATTCTGGACTTTCACCCAATCAGCTCTCAAGGCACTAATTTTTTTTCCTATTTCTTATATTTTCTGTTCATTGTAAACATGCCTTCTAATGATGAATAGGACTTGAGACAAATATTTTAGGTGAAAACAGTTGGTGTTGAGAATCAATAGCACACATTTGCAATGAAAAAAAATCATGATTTATGGACATTGTTTTATTTCTTTGGCTGCTCATGATAGTCATTGCTTCCCATGCAGGCTGTCTCAGATATAGATACAATGCTCAGTCATATTCATATGAAGAACCCTCTTGTATAATGCAAATACTGTGTGATTTATGGACATAACTTTACAAATTGAGCAAGTCCATGTGGATTAAATTAACATAATATACTCACTTTATTAGGTACAGCCCTATGCATCCAGCCAATCACATGGCAACAACTCAAGGCATTTAGGCATGTGGACTTGGTCTAGATGATCTGCCGAAACCAAGAATCAGAATGGGGTAGAAAGGCGATTTAAGTGACTTTGAACATGTCATGGTTGTTGGTGCCAGATGGGTTTGGTCTGAGTATTTCAGAAGCTGATCTACACAAAACAATCTCTAGAGTTAACATAGAATGATCTGAAAAAGAGGAAGTAACCAGTGAGCATTAGTTAAAGGTTATACACAAATAACTACTTGTTAAAACGAGGTCTGAAGAAGATCATCTCTGAACACAACACGTTAAAGCTTGAAGCAGATGAGCTACAGCAGCAAAAGAGTTATCACTGACGCTACTGTCAGATAACAAAAGCACTCTGAGGTGCTGTTTACACTAGTGCATGTTTGTTACCGTACGTTCACACCGAAAGCGGCGAAAGCGTCCAAGGTCGCTCTGGCCACCCTGGCGACAACGCTGTCTGCCTTCAGCTCCGGCGGCGAGAGCGTCAAAACTCGCTACCTTAATCTCGTATTTAAAGGAGCCGTTGCAGCATATTAGTTACATGCCTGCATAAAACATGTTTCTAGCGTGAAAATGTTGTGCACGTTTTATCAAATTCATACAATGGAAGATCAAGTTGCATGTGGTGTGGCTTTGCTCTTTTAATCCAATATGTGTCCATATGTCTGAAATATCCTAAAGCAGCTATACTGTTTTGTATTGTCACGTTGCGTGAGAGTCCCGCTTTTTAAAGATAAATTTATATAACATTAATGAACATCAGTAACTCGCCAGTAAGTTATTTAATGCATGTTCCTGTAAGAAAACATTGGAAATAATTGGAAATCCGGAGACCGCAATCATCAAACCCTTGGGAACAACTGTGATCGGAACCAAAGTTCACAGGTCTGTGTTCTCTGAACTCCTATCAAACGGTGGACGTCTTCATTCTGATTGTTTGCCGCCAAACCGCGTCATAGCTCATTACCATAAAGTTGACTTGATTTCATCTCTCCTCGACGCCCTCACCGGAGAAGACGCACCGCGCTGCTCCTCGCCGCTTATCGCCGCCGGCTCTCATTGAAAATAAATGACTTCCGGCTACTTTGACGCTCTCGCCGCTTTTGGTGTGAACGTACGGTTATGCCTGGCGTCTTTACTACTTAGTCATCTTTGTACTGCAAAAACAAAGTGCAATGAAAATACCAAAAAACCCCTTTAGTTTGGAAGTGCTCCATTTCAGTATATACAGACCAAAACACAAACTTTTTAAAATGTTGGTGCAGCTTTCAACTATCACTCAAACTGATTGTCTGGACTATTGTGTATCGTTCCCAGATTCGTCAAGCCCCTCTCATATGACTATTACACAACCAGTAAACGGCAAGAACTGATTCTGGTTAAACATGGGCTTGTCTTGTGACAGTGAATGGTCAGGTATTATGCGTTTTAGGTTGAAAAGTGCGGACGTCGATTATGAAGATTACTTTTCTGAAACAAATAAAAAAACGCCAGACTGGACGAAGAGCTTTTTTATTTCTAAAATGCAGTTTTCAAATTAAAAATGCACAAGTGTAAATGGCACTAGATTCAAGCTTTCACCCAAACTGGACAACAAAAGAATGGTAAAAGGCTGTCTGGTCTGATTAGTCTTGATTTTTGCTGCAACATTTGGATAACAAGGTCAGAATTTGGCTTGTAACAAGGTTAAAAAAAGAAAGAAGAAAGCGGGAACTGCCAAATGTTTTAAAGCAAATCTGTGGCAGCAGCTCCTTAAAGATGACTGACATCTAAACAGAATCCAAAACCAAACCCCTTGTCATCACTCCTCCTTTTATGCTTCTGGAACTCCTCTCTGTGGGAATTGAGAAGTCTGTGGCACCCAGGTTATTGCTTCGTTCCTATGGCTCTCACATGTCATAAACAACATGAATGCTTAAATCCATCTAGCCATGTATCAACTATTCAGACAGTTGGTGGTGAAATGGTGTGGATGAGATTTTATTGGCATATTTTAGTCTAAACTGGGAATTGCCGAACTGCCTACCTGAGTGCTGTTGCTAGCCTCATCCATCCCTTTATTACCACAGTGGATCAGTATATGATGGCTGCTTCCAGCAAAACTGGTTTGTTGAGCATGACAATGAGTTCACTAAAAAGTCACCACATCTCAATTCAGTAGAGCAACTTTGGAATCTGCTGGAAAAGAAATTCACATGACGGATGAGGAGCTAACAAATCTGCAACAACTACATAATGCTATCATGTCAATATGGAGGAAAATCTCGGATGAGCACCTTAATGAATTTATGCTATAAATAATTAAGGTTCTGTATATATTTATTCTGCTAAAAATCCATTTTGTCAGGTACACCTAACCTGATAAAGTGGGTTTTAGCAGAATAAATGCATCCTTTCAGTTATATTATCACTACAGAATTGTTTTGTTAGTTAAATGCTCTAACCACAATTATAGGTTTTGGTCTAATGAGATCAGTGCAGAGACCAAAGATTAACCATAGCAGCATAACAAACTGGGTCACTATTGACAAACAGAGCAATTTAAAGACACACGGTGTCTCTACAGTTGACATCTAAACATAAGTGTTTTAAATAAACATGTATTTTACTCCCCGCAAAGTCTTGTAATGATAGCTGCCATGCATGACTTCAGCAGGCAAACATTTTCTTGTTGCATCATGCATTGTTTCTTCGCCCATAACTGCTCACTCTGTAATGGTGTTGGATTACTGCTTTGCCTTTTCTTTAGTTTGCACCGCATGACCAAACTGCATGCATTCTATCCCAGAATGCATTATGAAATAACATTAAATATGTTATTGTATGTGTGTAGGGCTCTGTGGTCTCTAGTGGATCTCAGGTCCTGCTCAGTTCTCTGACCATCGATGGAGTATGTGAGAAGCTCAGACAGATCCAAGGCCTGGACTCCAGCATGCTGGAGCAGTACATCGGCACAATCAAAAAGGTATGTTTCCATTCAAAACGTTTGGCTTATGAGTTTACTGTGTTCCTAATAGACACTTTCACAATGACAGTATACTTTATTGTCCCATTGCTTCTTTAAAATTTCAGATCCCAGATTCCATTACTTATTTTGGTCATCATAAGTGGAAGAAACATAAATAACTGAATTCCATTTTCTCATTGAGTACAACCAATATGGTCCAGCAATGTTACTTTTATTTATTTATTTATTTATTTATTTATTTATTTATTTATTTATTTATTTATTATTTGTTTGTTTATTTTTTGATTGTTTAAGGATCTGTAGCTTTTTTTTAAATGTCTTTGATAGAAGCCACATTTATTCTAACAAAGATTTGAATTAAAAAAGAAAGATAGAAAGAAATAAAGAAAGAAATAAACAAACAAAGAAATAAACAAACAAAAACATAATGTTTGTGAAATAGAAATAATTTAAATATTTTGTATTTTTTTACCTTAAAATCTAACTTTTCATGTAATGGCAAGCAGCATTTTTTTTATTGAACAGGTAAATTATTAATTATTTATTATTATTTATTAATTGATTAATTAAATGCATCCTTGCTACAGATGAGTTCCTATTTCTTAATAAATAATAATAATAATAATAATAATAATAATAATAATAATAATAATAAACTAGCTATGGAATGTAAACCAAGCAAAAATAAATCAACATTTGGCCATAATCCCTACTAAATGAAAGTTGGAACCCTTTTTCCAGGGTTGTCAACTCACAAAGAGATAAGCTATCCACAAAAATCAAGTTAAAATAGTCCATTTATATAGAAGCTTTTACAAAACATAGTTTCAGACACTCATTTTCTTTTTTAAAACATTTTTTTATTAACAGTTTACACCTTAAATAAATAATATTAAATTATTTAAACTTTAAAACACATTTGATCTACAGTTGAAGTCAAATTATTAGCCCCCCTTTGTTTAGTTTTTTCTTTTTTAAATATTTCCCAAATTATGTTTACCACAGATAAAGTCAATTTTCACAGTATGTCTGATAATATTTTTTCTTCTGCAGAAAGTTTTAATTGTTTTATTTTGGCTAGAATAAAAGCAGTTTGACATTAAAAAAAAAAAAAAAACATTTTAGGTCAAAATTAATAGCCCGTTTAAACTGTATGTTTTTTGATCTATAGTTGACAGAACAAACCATCATTACACAATAACTTGCTTAATTACCATAACCTGCCTAGTTAACCTAATTAACCTAGTTAAGCCTTTAAATGTCACGTTAAGCTGTATAGAAGTGTCTTAAAAATATCTAGTCAAATATTATTTACTGTCATCATGGCAAAGATAAAATCAGTTATTAAAGATGAGTTATTAAAACTATTATGTTTAGAAATGTGTTGAAAATATCTGAAATTGGGGAAACAAATTAACAGGGGGGCGAATAATTCAGGGGGGATAATGATTAATCGGGGCTAACAATTTAGGGTGGATAATAATTCTGACTTCAACTGTATCTTTTCACATCCACCACATTCACAATTCCTTTAACATTGTAGATCAGACAGTTTTTCATTCAACAAACAAATTGCAACATAATAATTTTGTTTCCCGAAGCTGATGATCAGAGTTTTCTGAATACTCTCAGTTTAGTGTCCTGTTTTATATCATATCCTGTTTTATATCATAGACGTGCACCAGTGTTTGGAAGAAAAGTGGAAAAACAAGACTAAGACACATGGGGTGTGGTAAATTAGCCCATGATCGTCTATTGGAAAAGAGTAGTTTTATCAGCTCCATGTGGTTTCACAATGAGGCCTTTCTTTCCATTGGACAACATCTGAAGGAAAAGCAATGACATTTCTGATGCCTCCATTAGTCAACCTGCCAGCTGTGCCTCTTCAGCCTGCATACATAAACATCTTTATTGTGAACTGAGAATTAACCCTTGACACAAAAAAGTTTGTCAGCCATTAAAAAAAAAAAAAAGCCATATTGTTTTACATTGAACTCTGTCATCCCAAACATAGGCCAACGTGAACGGTCGGGTTCTGTCTCAATGCAACCTCGACGAACTGAAGAAGGAAATGAACATGAACTTTGGCGACTGGCATCTCTTCAGGTCAACGGTAAGACTTAACCCTACTCATTCGCATCAGATAGCGCTCGTCTTTCTGTTTGTGGTTTGTCATTTTTAGCGCTCGCCTAATCTCTCTACACTGAGGAAGGCTGGATGGGGTTGAAATAAGGAACACATGTAGCTGTGTTGATCAGATTTCCATTTGCGCTTATACAAACGAATGTTGTGTTGCCAGCAAGCAGGGAGCCATCTGGTCCAAGATGGCTGCTTTCTGGATGAAGGAGGGTTATTGTCAGTGGGAGCTCGGTGTCCACTTGAAGATCTGAATAGCTTGACGTTTACAAGAAAGTAGCATTCTTTGGGCTGGAAACAAGTCCAAATCTGAACGACTCGGGGCTAGTTGTGATATTGGCATGCCTTAAAGGTTTCACATAGTACTATGACCATTCAGCGATTTCACATAAATGCCACAGTGAAGCATGTGATTTCTTTTTTTCTTGTGTCCATGTTGCATAAAATTTAAGGCCTATTCAAATTGAACTCGTTTTCCCTGAGGTTAGGTAACATTCCTAAATGACAAATACTTTTTTTCTGATTTAATCTTGCCCAAAGACAAGCACATTTGTGATCTTTTCACACTCAGCCTTAGTAAAAAAAAAAAATGGTGGAATAAATTGCCTACTGTGTTGTTTCATTTAATTCAGGGGTCCTCAGAGAAATCTAATCCTAAATGGATAGTAATTATGGCTGTGATTGTGGAAAGTTTGTTTTAGTTTTGTTATTTTGACTTGGTTTTGTACTTAATTAAATATGTAACAATAAAAAAATACTTATTTGGAAACTCTAACAAAAGCTATATTGTTATTGTTATTATTATTATTATTATAATAATTATTATAATAATAATAATTATTATTATTATTATTATTATTATTATTACTACTACTACTACTACTACTACTATTATTATTATTATTATTATTATTATTATTATTATTACTACTACTACTACTATTATTATTATTTTTATTATTATTATCACCACAATATCATCCTATAAGAAATATCTATGATATTAGTATTTTTGAATTTTATTTTAAATATTTCAAATAAATGCAGCATTGGATGATCTTAAAATATTACAAGATCTTACCAACAGAGTGCTGTGGTTGCAGCAGAACCTGAAGTATGAAATCTAAGGCCCCGTTTACACTGTCAGGTCTTGATGCCCAATTCCAATTTGTTTAATTGTGACCCATATCGGATTCATATGTTGACACTTGCTATACAGTTTGCAATATCACACATGCATAAAAGCAGGGTCTAGCATATGTGCCACATTAGCCATGATGGAAGAAATTGTCTTGCTTTTAGCTTTAAACCTAACTTTAAAATGATTTTGAGGAGGAGGAGGAGTGAAAGGGCTGTCATCGCAGCTTGTGCCTATGATTTATGAATGGTGTCCTCCACCATTCAGAGGAATTTGTGGGTACGAGAGAGATCTTAGGTGTGGTAGGAGCAAATTGTGGCAACTGACCACTTTACTCCCCCATGTTTCCTCTGTTGTTGTTGTTTATCGTATTGTCTAAAAAAAACATATTTATTTACTTTTTTTTATTGGAAATACAAATTTCTTATACAACAAAATGGCATTCAACTTTGTAAATTATGTATCAAACATGGAAGGCTCAAGACAAAATAATATACAAAAACTAGATATTAAAGTTTGAGGACAAACTTTATGGTGGCTTGAAAAGCCGAATCTGAAAGTTTGAAGTGGTTGAATTAGCATGTTACTAGCATGATTCTAGCATGAATTAGCATGCTACTAGGATAATTCTAGCATGAATTAGCATGTTAGTAGCATGATTCTTACATGAATTAGCATGTTGTTAGCATGATTCTAGCATGAATTAGCATGTTACTAGCATGATTCTTACATGAATTAGCATGTTGTTAGCATGATTCTAGCATGAATTAGCATGTTACTAGCATGATTCTAGCATGAATTAGCATGTTGTTAGCATAAATCTAGCATAAATTAGCATGTTACTAGCATGATTCTAGCATGAATTAGCATGTTGTTAGCATGATTCTAGCATGAATTAGCATTTTACTAGGCGGTTGCTAGGGTGTTTTAAGTGGTTGCTAGGTGGTTGCTAAGGTGGTGCAAGGCAGTTGCTAAGGTGGTCTGACTAGTTGCTAGGTGGTTGCTAGGGTGTTGCTAGACGGTTGCTATGGTGTTTTGAGTGGTTGCTAGGTGGTTGCTAAGGTGGTGCTAGGCAGTTGCTAAGGTGTTCTGACTAGTTGCTAAGTGGTTACTAAGGTGTTGCAAGGTGGTCGCTAGGGTATTCTGAGTGGTTGCTAGGTGGTTGCTAAGGTGTTGCTAGGCGGTTGCTAGGGTGTTCTGAGTGGTTGCTAAGGTGTTGCTAGGTGGTTGCTAAGGTGTCCTAAGTGGTTGCTAGGGTATTCTGAGTGGTTGCTAAGGCGTTGCTAGGTGGTTGCTAGGGTGTCCTGAGTGGTTGCTAGGTGGTTGCTAAGGTGTTGCTAGGTGGTTGCTAGGGTGTCCTGAGTGGTTGCTAGGTGGTTGCTAGGCGGTTGCTAGGGTGTTCTGAGTGGTTGCTAGGTGGTTGCTAAGGTGTTGCTAGGTGGTTGCTAAGGTGTCCTGAGTGGTTGTTAGGTGGTTGCTAAGGTGTTGCTAGGCGGTTGCTAGGGTGTCCTAAGTGGTTGCTAGGTGGTTGCTAAGGTGTTGCTAGGCGGTTGCTAGGGTGTCCTAAGTGGTTGCTAGATGGTTGCTAGGGTGTTCTGAGTGGTTACTAAGGCGTTGCTAGGTGGTTGCTAGGGTGTCTTGAGTGGTTGCTAGGTGGTTGCTAAGGTGTTGCTAGGTGGTTGCTAGGGTGTCTTGAGTGGTTGCTAGGTGGTTGCTAAGGCGTTGCTAGGCAGTTGCTAGGGTGTTCTGAGTGGTTGCTAGGTGGTTGCTAAGGTGTTGCTAGGCGGTTGCTAAGGTGTCCCAAGTGGTTGCTAGGTGGTTGCTAGGTGGTTGCTAAGGTATTCTGAGTGGTTGCTAAGGCGTTGCTAGGCGGTTGCTAGGGTGTCCTGAGTGGTCGCTAGGCCCTTACTAAGGCATTACTAGGCCGTTGCTAGGTGGTTGCTAGGCGGTTGCTAGGGTAATTTGGGTGGTTGCTAGGCAGTTGCTAGGGTACCCTGGTTGGTTACTAGGCAAGCCTCACATACATGATTGATAAAACATTTATACTTAGTAAGCATTTCTAGCAAGTTACAGTACTGGGCTAGTCAATATTAGCATGTAGCTAGTCACTGCTAGCATGTGTAGCATATAGGAAGTTCCGTTTGCTAGCATGAGTCAAACGAGCCAATCTCCAAGTCTCTACGATGTTCTGATGCTGAGATATAGCTGTTGATGAATGGTTGCTAGGGTACTCTGTTTTGTTGCTATGGGCGAGGTTACAGAGTGAACTTGAATGTGGTTGGTTGTCTTAGTCGAATGAACCAACCCCCATGTCTCTATGACACTGCTATGCAAAGATATGCATCTTGGCCTATTTTAATGGAAGTCTATGGAATCAATTTGGGGGCGTGGCTTGTGAGCTTCATTATCATATTGAGATGCTCATTGGTTGTCTGAGTCAGATGAGCCATCCCCCAAGTCAATAGGACACTGCTATGCAAAGATATGCATGTAGGCCAGTTATTAACATGAGTCTAGTTTGAATTAGCATGTTACTAGCATGATTCTAGTACAAATTAGCATGTCATTAGCATGTTTCCAGTATGAGTTAGCATGTCATTAGCATGATTAGCATATGAGTAGCATGTTGCTAGCATGATTGGCATGTCATTAGCATGTTAGAATTATAAGCATTTGATAGCACAGCTAATTACATTCTATAAGACAGTTGCTAGGGTGCAGTATGTGGTAGTTAGGGGTGTGGCTAGAAAGTTAAAAGGCCATCAGTGATTGGCTGCTGGCTAGACTGAGTTAAATGAGCTCAGCCATTAGTCTCTATGACAGTCTGATGCAGAGTTATGAGCTCACAAAGTTTGATCCCATGTTAAGTCAATGAGAGTCTTTTGTAATGGAAGTCTACGGGACAGTTGCTAGGGTGCAGTATGTGGTAGTTAGGGGTGTGGCTAGAAAGTTAAAAGCTCATCAGTTATTGGCAGTTTGGTAGACTGAGTTAAATGAGCTCAGCCATTAGTCTGTATGACAGTCTGATGCAGAGTTATGAGCTCACAAAGTTTGATCCCATGTTAAGTCAATGAGAGTCTTTTGAATGGAAGTCTACGGGACAGTTGCTAGGGTGCCATAAGTGGTTGATAGGGAGTGGCTAGTAAGTCTAAAGGTCATCAGTGATTGGCTGCTGACTAGACTGAGTTGAATGGGGCCTGACTCTAGTCTGTAGGACAGTCTGATGCAGAGTTATGAGCTCACAAAGGTTGACTCAATGTTAAGTCAATGGCAGTCTTTTACAATGGAAGTCTATGGGACAGTTGCTAGGGTGCCAAAAGTGGTTGCTAGGGAGTGGCTAGTAAGTTTAAAGGTCATCAGTTATTGGCTGCTGGCTAGACTGAGTTAAATGAGCCCAGTTAGAAGTCTGTAGGACAGTCTGATGCAGAGTTATGAGGTCACAAAGTTTGACCCAATGTTAAGTCAATGGGAATTTTGGGAATTTTCCGGGTCGTTTTTCGGAAAACCGAAAGTCAGATCAGTCGGAAAAGATATAGCAACCCGAGTCAGACCAGTTTGAAGGTTTGACGAAAGTTTGAGGTATGAAGCTTGAAAGGGTTAGGAGGAGATAGACTTTAAAATTAGTCTCAGAAGAAAGAAGAAGAAGCAGAATAATAATAAGTTTAAGTGAGATAACAGTATGTTGGCTTTTCAAGCCACCATAATAAAAAAAATGTCAATTACGAAAATCATCCAAGTTAAAATAAAATTAAGAGTGAAAACATAAAACAAAATCAATATAAAACAGATATTGGCTATGGCAAGTTATATGATACAAATAAATTGAACATTTTTGAGGCAATTTCATTTATGAATAAAAGATTTGGCTAATACAATAATAATATATATAAAATCGTGCAAAACAGAACAATCTTTAATACTTCCATTTAGTACATCTTGTAATGTGTAAGGTTTACCGCGTCAGCGTCTCTTCCTTCTACTCTTCCTTCTACATCATTAAACCGCTGCAGAGTACCACATTGTAGCAAGTTTAATGATGTACAAAACGGAATGCCTTAATAAATCCGATCTGCCTGTTTACATGATTGCGCTGTCACATTGTCAAACATTGATGCATTGTCACATATCTGATTTATATCTGATTTATTTCCACATATGAAGGAGGCCTGAAGCAGAGGTATGCATTTTTTCGTGTTTACACAGTCATAGAACAGATCCGATCTGTGTCACATATGAGCAAAAAATCGAAATTGCGTCACATTTAACTGGCAGTGTAAACGGGGCCTACATTACACCAAACAATCTAATTTAATATTAGCATTATTCAGAGACACCTTTTTAAAAGACACTTTGTATGAAGTGTGAATTCTCAACAACCATAACTAAATCTACTAAAATATATATTGATAAATTAAACATTTTCCAAAAGACAAAACAATTAAAAAAATAAAACCAAGGTAAATAAAACACAAGTATGAACACGTATTGTTTATTTTTTTGAACAATAAAAAGTCTAATGGCACACATCCAATAAGCAGAAATCTCAAGGTTAGTGCACTACACAAAAGCATGAACCACACAAGAACCAAAAAACTCTATTTTTTTGTAGTGTGCCTATTTTAAGTTATCACCACAAGACACGTTTTGATGTTAGACAGTCTTTATAAGACAATAATCACATACATGACCTCATCCTTATATGCCTACAACATAAAGCAAATTAATATGATTGCCCACAGAAAGAATAAGAAAAAATACACAAAAGGCTATCGACAAATCGTTTAACAAAAGCTCAGTCAATACATCACGTAAAAGTGAGAACAACAATACATTTCAATCTAAATCTGACTGCGACATATTCAAAATTACAAAGAAAATAGCACACCAAACCAACACCAAATAAAACAATTACAAATAATATAACATGTAGGTAATCTTATGTATACGAACACACCCATTTGCTCTCCATATGCACCAGACTCTTTCTTATAAACACTCTATGGTTCTGGTAAACATTGTGCAGTTCTTATTAGTGTGGTTCACACAGGTCAGCTCTCCATTATGCGAGTTATGTATAGGTATAAAATAGCTCTTACGTCCAGTGCTGTTTTCTTATTTATGATTATGTTTATTTAATATGCATCACAGTGGTCCTGCGAGGCATGACATTTCGTTCCACACATGTAGCAGAATGACAATAAAGCTTGACTTGATGTATAAAAAAGAAACAAAAACTACTTGTCATTGCGTCTATATGCTGCTGCTATCACATATAGATGCTGCTCTGGAGATTTGAAGTGCTTCTTTTATCCTTTTATGTCATTTATAAATCAGTTTGGATAAAAGTGTCTACTAAATGATTAAATGCAGAGCTGGGTGTTTACAGTTACTAAAGTCAGTGTAATTTTATTACTTATGTTACAAATATAGATTTTAGAAAACAATTTTTGCTTTTTTTAAATCACGTTTTCCACTGGAACATCAGTTAATGACCTTTCGCATTTAAATTGTTGGAGAACGCGAGCTGAAATATCTGTTGATGAGAGTGGCTTCTTCTTCAAGTGGAAATACAGACACTACTTTGATATTATTGGGCATAAAACAAAGATGTTACTATGAAATGTCCAGTCTCTAAAGAACTTTCGATTACATATAGCTATTACATGCGAGCACAATACTCATTATCAAAGTGGACACCGGCGCCCAAAAACACAGTAGCCCGACTCAGCCTAAACAGCCTAAATTGGATTTTTGTTGAAGTTAACTTCAGAAAATGTGAAGAGAAGTGTAGCTGTTTATGGGCCGTTTACATAGCGCATATTTTGCGTGCACAAATTCGTTATCTCAGATTAAGGCGCGAGGCTTGGGCTCACATATTGGGAGTGAAGCCAAAGACCCTTTAAGGCAAGTTATTTCACTCATCGGTAATCTTTGAAACCCCTCTCGGGCAGTATGCTTCGCCGTTCTGTTTGAATGGGGAAACATCAAATTCTCCAAAACTGCTTGCCAAACTTACGATTGAATTTCATTTTAGGAATTACCAATAAAATTAAAAAACATCTGTCTCTTTAGTTTCATTTCTAAACATCCAAATCACACAAAATCTGCAGAAACTTACGTTTGGTCCAAGCCCCTTCCCCAGAGTATTGTCAGTCTGTAGAGGAATTACCAACCTATGCAACCTTCGATTGCAGCAATGATTTCAGCTAAAAGCATATGGTTAATTAAACAGCGGACACTGAATACTAAGAACGAAATGTAAAAGTGTAAGTTCACATACCCTGCCGTACAGGTGCAATTCGCTGTCAGAATGCAGTTGTTTTGCTTGTTGATGATTACCCAGGCTTTGCACAGTTCCTTGTCTTTGGCTAGGCAGAACCTTGGTTTTTAGCACTACAAAGTTTTGAATCTGGTAATCATGGAACATTATTTCTTGCACATGACCACACACAAAACAATTGTTGACATCCAAAGACTTGTAGGCCTTTAACTTCTCTCTTGTAAAATCTCTTGGAGTTTCAATGAGATAGCTGTATATTTTGGGCTGGATGCTTGGCCGTTTCATCTTATCCAATATCCATTGGGAGGGTGCTTCGCAAATTAACCTGCCAGATGAACACCGTTCGTCTTTACGTTAATTTTGCTAAATCGCTGGTCTTATCACTGGATGACGAGCTGTTATAATATGCTGAAAGCATTATGTAAATAATATATATAATATGTAATCAATATAACTTATTTCTAAGACAACAAACTCTGTACCGCATCGGATGTCATTCCCTTGCTGCAGATGCTAGCGCTCCCAGTTTTTTCTGCCACCTCGCTACGCACACGTCCTGAATGTTTACAAACCAGTAATTCGTCTATAGCCGTCGATGATTGGCTCCTGTACTACAGTGGTTCTCAAAGTGGGGGTCGGGACCCCCTGGGGGGTCACGGGACAATGACAAGGGGTCGCTTGGTGATATCCAAAACTCAAATAAATTTTATTAAACTATTAGAATTACCATATTTTATTCATAACCGACAGAATATAGTTAATAGTTGCATTAAAGTAACAGCAACATAAAAATAACAATCAGTCATCAGCCTTTAATTTTAAAAGCAAAATGTAATTAAATCCATAAATTACTTTAAAAAACATTATATGGCTAATAGACTATTGCATTTTTGTTTTGTCAATAAGCTCATGTTTATATTTGCCTATAGTTGTGTCTGCAACGTTTACATATTTACAGTACAACCACCTTGAAAAATGGGGGTCGCGAGCCACTGATATGATTATTTTTGGGGTCGCGAGCTGAAAAGTTTGGGAACCCCTGCTGTACTAGAAGGCGGGCTTTTTTACCATATAGCGAAATGTACTAGTAGACAGGACTTTATTCACAATATTGACAGTTACACTTTTCCCTACTCAAAAAGACAGTGACATGTCTTGTGTATTCTAGAGTCTTTGGTGAAGCACTCACGGAAAGTAACCAAAACGTTCATCTGAAGATGGACATTGACGTCAGCCTGCAGTGGGTTCTGTCGTCAACTCGATTTTCATTTCCAAACAAAATGTTATGTCCCACGGCATTGGTGTACAATGTCAATCTGACGTCTTGTTGACGTCCTGTGCCTCCTGGGTATGATTGCATGGACATCATTAATCTAATTATTTCCCTTGATCTGAATTAAACAATAATATGATTAAGGTGTTTAGATGAGTTTCTTTTTGGATGTTCCTTTCATGTTCTCATTTTACATTATAATATAGAATTAGAAATAATGTCAATACCATACGCCATCATTCATTTCTCACATCATGCGTGCAAACAGATGACGGTGGATACAAATTCTCAAGCCACCTTTGCCATTTCATTTATTAACTTTTCATTCATGCTTCACACTTTAAAGAGAGACTGTTAATATTAACCTCTCTTTGTGTAGATTTTGTCAGTGCATGACCTGTGACATCCGTATACAAGATTAAATCAAACAGCCGAAATCTTATAGATCATAACTCTATTAGCCTTTTAACCACAATTTCACAAAGCTTGCCGTTTTTGCTTTTTGTGTACCAATATAATGGCTGAAATTCCGTCTTGCTGTTGAGTGCGTTCAAACTCTGCTGTATTTGTGCTGTAGGTTGTGGAGCAGCGTCATGCGGAGAACCAGCTGCTGCATGATGAATCAGGAGCGTGCAGCGAGCAGGGCAGCAGCGTGTTGATTCAACCCGAACCCCACAGACCCTCTGAAGCTCGTCAAGACGTGACCGTCAACCCAGAAAACTTCACGTACAGCCTCAACCTTAGCTTTGAAGAGCTCAGCGGCGTGGGGCTGGAGGAGTCTGCCAGACAACACAATGCCCACTGGCTGGTGCGTGGTACCGCTGTGCACACAAACACATTCAGCTGGACACGTCAACACTCAAGTACAGCCTATAGATAAACACAGGTGCACGCCAGCAGAAGACTGCAATTATACACATAGAGGCGAACACAAACACATGCATGCGTGGAAACAAAAACTGCATTTTTCTTTTGTTGTTGTTGCGCCTTTAAGCAAACGTTTTCTTCACTGTTGCATTCTAAAGCGGAGCTTCTGCTTTTCAGTAGGCTCTGATCAGCATGGAAATAGCATGTGGTTTACTGGGTGACAAACAGAGTGTTTTGGTGACCTGAATGGGCAGAGGAAGTGATGAGCTGACCACACACACTCACACACACATATACTCAAGCTCTATATCACACAGAGATAGCTATTTCTGCACTCATCTGTTCACACTTGGCAAGGTGTTGCAACACAAGCAAGAGCTCATAATGGTTTAGATTAGCATCGTGGAAGTTGCTGATGAACACACAGAGTTCGGGTACATCCCATTTTGCTGCATTGTTTTATGACTTTCTGAAGCACTAGTAGCGTGTTCATGCTGAGAAATGCAGTGTGAAGTCATGTAAAATATGTCGCTCTTCGAAAGAAAAGACGCTTCTTTAAAAAGTGTTTCGCTTTTGAGGAAGGGGAGGCACTAAATGTATTAAAGCTATATTTGCAACACATTGTTTTAGTTAGTTTAAACTTAAATTTGGGTAAATTATGAACACTTTTTTTCTTGAGTTTTTAGTTTAGTTTTTTTTTTTTTATTAAACTTCAAACCATGAGTTGGGCTTGTCCATACTTAAAGGCATAGTTTACCCAAAAATTACATTTTACTCACTTTCAAGTGGTTCCAAACTATATTTTCATCTGTGAAACATGAAATATAATTTAATGAAAACTGAAAACCTGTAACCATTAACTTCCATAGTATGAAAAATAAACACTATGGGTGCTTTTACACTAGTACTTTTGGTCCCCAACCGGGTTTGATTGACATCAGAGTATGGTACGTTTAGCTAGGGTGAACGCTTTCTTCTGAACTCGGGTACGCACCCATAAACTGTACCCGAGTGCGCCTGAATGAGGTGGTCTAGGGTTCGGTTCGTGCAAACTCTGGTACGGTTCACTTCTGATATGAATGATATCGTACCAAATAACCACCAACTGTACAACAAACTTTAGTTTTCAAAACGTTCATTTGTGTGTGTATGTTGTGTATGACCTACCTTGGCAACAAGTAAGACTGACTGAGCAGTGATAAAGTCTGCTTGCCTTTACCAAAAAATGACTTCTGCAGGCATTGCATGATGTTCTAAACGTTTATATATATATATATATATATATATATATATATATATATATATATATATATATATATATATATATATATATAATATATATATAATATTTTTTGTGGCAGATAGATGCAAGTGGCTCTCTGTATTTTGATTTTGATTGCAAAATTTGGTTTTGATTGCAAAAAAAATTCAGTTAAAGCAGAACAACCATGATATGCGGATGTCTCCATTTTGACGCTTTGTTTTTGTCACCTAATAACAGCTGTACATAAAACAGCTGCTTGATGATGCAAGCATAGGGGGGGTCAAAGAGCATAGAATCACCAAGAGGCAAATAAAATTTGTCACGGCAGCCATTTTGGAATGAAAACTCCAATAGAACAATGGTATATTATAAGTCTGTAAAATAAACAATTTAAAGTGCTGATGATTGTTATAGTAAGTGTTGTATTGTCATCTTTTAGGTTGTATCTCAGCTTTAATGCGCTTTTAAAATAAATAAATAAAAAACAAAGCAGCTGCTTGCCATTGAGACAGCAATAATAGCCAATGGACAGCCGATCGCTTTCACTCCAAAATGGCGGAATCCGGGGCTGTTGCTGGGCACTGCTGCTGTTCTGTTGAGTGCTATTGAGAGCTTTCATTCTAAGCTCTTTGGTGGGGTTCAGAAGGAAAAAAGATAGTTTGAACACAAACCAGCTGAGAAGGTGGCAAGGGGGGACAATCCAACTTCGGTCAAAGCAATTGAATCACATGTAAAAGCACCCTATGAAAGTCGAAGGTTACATGTTTCCAGCTTTCTTCAAAATATCTTCTTTTGTGTTCAACAGAAGAAATAAACTTATAAAGGTTTGGAATCACTCATGGGTGAGTAAATGATGACAGAATGTTCACTTTTGGGTGAAATATTACTTTTAAGCTCACTCAAAAGTTGTTTCTGGCACACAAGAAATTAATTATTCTGGATTTTCTGAATCTATATGTCTTAAATGAAGAACAGTTAAAAAAATGCCAGGTTTGCACATGCAGAAGCAAAAGTGTTAAGTCAATAGACTTTGTGTTGAACTTCAAACGAACAACCAGAAAAACTGGTCTCATCATATCCGCTTGTTTGACAAAGTGTTAACAGAACTATTAACCAACACTGAGATCTTTGGACCTTTTAGTTAATCAGCTGACCTAGCCTGCTTGTATATGTATTGTCATCATTGAAACATGATGTAATAAAGACAATGCCATAACAGCATCATATTTAATGAAGCGTATTATATATAAAAAGCCTGAATTGGATGTGATAAATCCTTAGATTATATATATTTTTGTCAGTAGTACTACAGTATGTAACGGTAATAATGTCTTTCTGTTGAGTTATTCTGAAAGCTTGCAAGCACAATCAAAAATACAACATGACCAAACTAGAAATGAGAACTGAAATATTTCTAAATGGATCAAATTAATTGAAAGTTTAACCTAGAACTTGCAAAATAAAATCACTATATCTATATCAATTGTAGGCCTATTACGATATCATATTTTCACTACATGATTTTTGTGGTCAAAATAATTTGCAATGATCATCTTAATTGAGATTTTGTATAAAATAATAAATTATAAATAATGGCATCTGTCAAATTAATCTTAAACTAACTTAAAGCATATGAAGAAAAATACAAAATTCACATCAATTCCAAGCAGCTTTATTTATAATGCATATGCTAAAACCATTATAAACAATGTCCTTGGGAATTCCTACACCCACGTCATTACATTTTTGTGGATTTCACCTGAAAATCTATTGCATTTTGCTGACATTGAACTGCAGTAATTGTGACTGCACCTTTAAGGTGAAATACAGCCACTGACCATGTTGCTAAATTATTTACAATATTACAATGTGTAGTATTAACATTTATTTTAAAGGTGCCATAGAATGAACATTTATAAACACATATGCATAGCCTAATTATAAGTGTTCAGAATATTGAAATGACATACTGTGAGCCTCAAACCACCATAGCTTCCTCATTCTCAAATCCAGGTGATAAACGGGCCAATCAAAAACAACCACTGACTGTGACAATCCACAGAAGATTAGTAATATGCATGTCACAGTCTGTTTGATTGGCCACAATATTTCCAAGTGAGATTACAACAATGATATTTCCCCTTATTTTCTAAGTTTAACACAGCTTATTATATTTCCTTCATATAGTGGACTCTAATATGAAAAATAGACTGACATTAGTGAGCTTTCAGGTAATGTACTTCAGATAATGCAGGTAATCACAGCTCTTCTTCAACTGCAAAATTCGGGAAAAAATGGAATATGTTTATTCAATGCACCTCTGTTTAAAGGTATTTTTTGTTTAACATGTATATTGTAAAATTAGTTTGTTATGAGGCAACAAACGTGGAAATGGCTTAGTATAAGTGTTTAATGCATTTTCATGCATCGTATGATATTACTCAGCTCTTACTGTGATTTTTCTGTAGTGGAAGGATGGCAGTAAACTTCAAAACCTCATCTGTTTATGCAAAGATTGATATTAATTACAGCTTTTGTTTTTAGATATATTAAACCCACAAAATACACCTCTGAATGCATCTCTGTCTGCTCCTTTTGTCGAGTATAATTATTACTTAGCCTGTATTTTATTCATATCATAAATCAGGAGCAAACTAGGCTTTCCTGGTGGCTCACTCACTCCTTCTAGCTAAAATAAACCTTTCTAACACTTTAGTTGAAAAGATTGTCATTTAACAAGGAGTCTACTCTATTTGTTAAACTATTTTTTAACAACTGAACTGTGATTATTTAGCATGTAAGCATTTCAGAGTACATCATCAGCGTCAGGCACTCACATGAGCTGCTTGAGCATCAGAGTAGAGCTCATTAACATTCACGACCCTTCCAAATAAGGTCAAAACGAATCATATCATATTAAGGCCAATTTCTTGGGTTGGAAATGAAATTGTAAAACTTTCTATATAGATATCAGAGAACAATTAAATATGTTATATCAAAAGATTCTATGGCGTCTTTAAAATATTATGGTTATGATACTACCAGTCAATTGTGACACCCCTAATCAATATTGAAAAACAATTCCGTTTGTTTTTCATGGAAAATGTATATGTTCGAAAAGCTGAATTTTAGTTAAACTATTACTCAAACTACCTGGTTGTGTTTTCTACCCGATTGCTAGTCTGACTTGGCATGTTCTCTCACATTTAGCAGTCTAAAGTCATTGACCTGATCTTTTCCTTCAGGCCAATACTCACCGGACCCCCAGCTTATCCAGTCTAAACTCTCAGGAATCATCTAATGACATCTGTAAGCTGACCGACAAGCAGCAGGCCGAGTATCACAGTGCATACCAAGAGTACATCTCCCACATGTCCCATTTGGAAGCATCTGCTGCAGGACGAGAAAGTCAAACTCAAGCCCTGTCCAGCCAGCTCCTCTCAACCAGCTCTGAGGACAAGATTAAAGAAGGAGACCAAGATGGACGCAAACCCTTTGGCAAAAAAGGCCCCAAACCTACAGACACCATGGCAGACTTCTCCTCCCCCCCAGATAGTGGTCTTCTAGACCCCATTACAGAGGAGGATGAGAAGTCCGATCATGGGTCTGCCACTAAAAACCCACCCAGACGCAAAACCAAAGGACAGGGCCCTTATTATCACAGTTTACCGAGTGACGAAGACGACTCTGGAGATGAGGAAACTGATGCAACCCCGCTTCTAAAAGACGAGCCCTGGGGCGCAGAACCAGATCTAGACCACTTGTCGAAAGGAAAAGGCTTCGTCTCAGATATCATGCTGGACAAGAAGTCGTCCGACTCTGGAGTAAGGTCCAGCAGAAGCTCATCTGACCACTCCCTGCAGGACGAGGAGAAGGAGGAGAAGTCAGAAGAACAGGAGGCCCAACTGATTGAGCTGGTTGTTGAGAGTCCGGTTAAAAAGCGGGTGTTACCAAACAGGTTGAGCAACCTTCAGGATGAAGCCTTGGCCCGCATGTCAATCTGCTCTGACGCTCCATCTGAAGGCAGCACCCCTGAAGAAAGCTGGCCCGCTCCAGCCGTGAGCAACCTCAACTGCTCGGCCAATAATACAGCAATCAACAACAACATCAACAACAGTGGCCAGCAGGAGACCCTCGACTCAACCGACTGCCCCTCACTCATTATACGACCAGGATCCAGCACTGAAAACACCACACTGGAAAACCAGAACCTGCGTGGTGTTCAGCGGAAGATGTCCATTGGACCTGCCACCGACGCCACCGAGGAACGAGAAAGTGTCCTCTAAGCACAAGTTGTCTTAATGGATTACTTCTAGAGCTGTGGTGAAGGATGTTTGAGATTATATGCTGATTCTGAAATGTTGTAAATGCGTTGCTATTCTCTCTTGAATCAGTTCTGAGCTTAGTATTTAACAGCAGATGGTGCTCTAGGCTAGTTTTTAACTGTACACTCAAGTGCCCACATGGAAGATCGCTTCTGTGTTCGGCTGAGTCATGTTAATTGGCTTAAATGGCACGAGAATAATGTAGACAGTACAATACCATGCACATTCTTGTAATTTGCATAAACCTTACTACGGTGGCAGAGAGAGCTTAACATGCTGCAATTATAGAAAACACGTGCAATTACAAAATTACAAATATGCCAGCAAATTAAGGAAAGATCTTCATCCATTTAACAGCACATGTCCTCACAACGCATACACATAAAAAAATATGCTGCATTTTCTCACAACGCAAACAATTTACAAAATCGCACTGCATTGTCTCACAATGCAAACAAAGTAAAGAATGTACTGCATTTTCCCTCAACGCAAACAATTTACGAAATCGCTTTGCATTTTCCCTCAACACAATTTACAAAATCGTGTTGCATTTTCCCACAACGCAAACAATTTACAAAATCACGCTACATTTTCCCTCGACGCAAACAATTTACAAAATCGTGCTGGATTTTCCCTCAACACAATTTACAAAATCGTGTTGCATTTTCCCACAACGCAAACAATTTACAAAATCGTGTTACATTTTTCCTCGACGCAAACAATTTACAAAATTGCGCTGCATTTTCCCTCAACGCAAACAGTTTACAAAATCGCGCTGCATTTTCCCTCGACGCAAACAATTTACAAAATCGCGCTGCATTTTCCCTCGACGCAAACAATTTACAAAATCGCGCTGCATTTTCCCTCGACGCAAACAATTTACAAAATTGCGCTGCATTTTCCCTCAACGCAAACAATTTACAAAATCGTGTTACATTTTCCCACAACGCAAACAATTTACAAAATCGTGTTGCATTTTCCCACAACGCAAACAATTTACAAAATCGTGTTACATTTTTCCTCGACGCAAACAATTTACAAAATTGCGCTGCATTTTCCCTCAACGCAAACAGTTTACAAAATCGCGCTGCATTTTCCCTCGACGCAAACAATTTACAAAATCGCGCTGCATTTTCCCTCGACGCAAACAATTTACAAAATCGCGCTGCATTTTCCCTCGACGCAAACAATTTACAAAATTGCGCTGCATTTTCCCTCAACGCAAACAATTTACAAAATTGCGCTGCATTTTCCCTCAACGCAAACAGTTTACAAAATCGCACTGCATTTTCCCTCAACGCAAACAATTTACAAAATTGCGCTGCATTTTCCCTCGACGCAAACAATTTACAAAATCGCGCTGCATTTTCCCTCAACGCAAACAGTTTACAAAATCGCGCTGCATTTTCCCTCGACGCAAACAATTTACAAAATCGCGCTGCATTTTCCCTCGACGCAAACAATTTACAAAATTGCGCTGCATTTTCCCTCAACGCAAACAATTTACAAAATCTTGCTGCATTTTCCCACAACGCAAACAATTTACAAAATTGCACTGCAATTTTTCACAACACAAAAAGAACAGAACACAATGGAAATGTTTGAAAGGGACCTAAAAAAAGTGATGGATGCTGCTGTGCTGTGACTATTGCTTAGTGAAGATGATCTTTGAAAGGTGAGTTTTTTTGTTTTTTTTAAAATCCTGATTCGCATGTCTAGTATTTATTAATACTTAAATAACAATGACCTAAATAGCTAGGTTCGTCACATTGTAGGATCTCCTTAAAACAATTCCATTGTGTTGTGAGAATGTTTGCGTTGTGAAAAAATGCAGCGTGTTTTATTAATTTGTTTCTGTTGTTAGAAAATGCAGCACTTTTTTTTTTTTTTTTTTAATGTGTTTGCGTTGTGACGATTGGCAGTGTGTTGTCAAACTAAAGATTTTTTTCTCAAGTTGCTGGGTTTTTTGTAATTGCACGTGTTTTCTTAAATTGCAGCACATTAAGCTCTTAGCCACCATACCTTACTTTATTTTTAATTATTATTTATTTTATTATAGACCGCTATATACTGTTAGAAACTAAGCACAGAATCAATGCAGAATCAATATCTCAAATGATTTTTAGCCACAGCTCGAAATAGTTTACTTCCAGAATTTTCATTTATCTGATAATTTACTCGCTTCCCTATGTATTTCAAGATCTGACTATTTCCCTCTTTCTTCCGTTGAAAGAAAATTAAGGATTTTGAGAAAAACATTTTCCATAAACACTCAAAAAAAGCGCTCACTGTTTGTTCAAATTTCTTTAAAACAAACTGAAACAACTCAATTCTTGAGTGTTTTTGGGGACAACTTAATTGTTTTTTGTTTAATCCACTTAAATTTGTAAAAACCAATAGGTTAACTCAATATCTTCACGTTGTCCCAACACAAATTGATTTTGTGCAACCCACCATTTTTGACTTCTGGTGCTCAGGTTTGAACCTCCATATTTAGTTTTCAATACAGTTCCAAAAAGCTCTTAATGATCCAGAATGAGGAATAAGCTACTTACTCAATAACACAGTCAGAATTTAATGTTTTAACCAGAGCTAATCAAACGTTTGTGGTTAAAAAAAAAAAAGTATGACCCATCATTTCACTATAAAAGACCCTTATTCCTTCTCTGGGATCATTTATCCATTGTGAAAAGAAAAGAAAAAAAAAAAGAGTAAATGATCAGGAAATTCATATTCTGGAAGTGAACTAATCATTTCAACTCGAGGATACGCAACCTTCCTACAGTTCACCTCTAAATGATTGAGTACTTCTGAAGATCTGACACTGTGTAAACACTAGACATACCTGTTGTTTTATTGTTGCAACAGTTACAGTAAGGTAAGGCAGGTTTGCACCCTAAGAAACGATGTCCTGCAGAGTTTTAGTCCAGCCTTGATAAGATCTCACCTGCCTGTAGCTTTCTACGATGATTTTGCTGCTTGTTCAGAGTTTAAACAAAGCAATTAAAGTAAAAAAAAAAAACGTTTTATGTTAAATCTACCTACATTTCTAACAACAGTTAAGTTAACTTAATAGATTTGTCTTCAGAAAACATGAAGGAATTGTGTCGTGTGGAACTCAATGTAGTAGCCCTCAGAACTTGATTAGCCTGTTCTGGTGTGTTTGATTAGGATTAGAGCAAAACTCTGCTGCACTGCAGCTCTCAGGGACCAAACCTACGCCTGAAATAGAGGTCGTAACACGGGTCAAACCAATTATATGTCCTTTATATCCGTAAACAGAATGAGACTATGAAGATTTGTCGCTCACTTTATGCCACATCTAGTCAGGACAGAATCACTGTTAACGTTTTTTTCATTCTTAATGTCTTTCGTCTGCACTCGTGTCAAAGTTAGACACTGTTGTTCAGCTTATTCAGGTGTATTTGATCAGGGTTGAGCTGAACTTTGCAAGATCTTCAGGAACAGAACTGAACACACCTGCTTTTTTACTTCTGAAGGGTAAATAACTGGAAAGGTTTGAGATTACTATAAAACATGAAGTAAACTTGAAGCCGAGTTACTTCTCATTTTTTCTGTGTTGAATTTTGTGTGGTTAGATTCTTTACATGGATAGATTCACTGCAAAATCTCTTAATCAGTGTTTATGCTTTGTTTTGCGTAAGAAATATTGAGATATCCGTAAAAAAAGAAACTGACACGTGTTAGCTATGGAAAAGTTGAATATAATTTATATGATTTAAAGCTTTGTTGCTGCTGGAAGGGCATCTGCTGTGTAAAACATGGGGGAATAGTTGGTGGTTCATTCCGCTGTGGCAACCCCTGATAAATAAGGGACTTAAGCTGAATGAATAAATGATTTGAAACATTCAAGATAATGGAAAATTAACAAATGCTTTTGCTACATTAATTTAGGTTATTGTTTATTTTTTTCCTCTATGAACATTTTAACATTTGAAGAAATGTACATGAGCGTTATTTGGCAGTATAGCGTAATGGTGTACTTGTACATCAATAATAGCCTAGAATAATAGATTTCATTTAGTATATGGAGTAGGTTTATTGTTAAAACATACTACATCTCCTCCTTTTTCATTCTTGATTTATTTTTGTTCATGGATTTATCTTGATGTTTGGATATTTTAAACTGTAAAACAAAGTCAAAATACAGATGAAGAAGAAGCAGTTTAAAAGTGTGAGAAACGTGATTATTGTTGCTTTAGTGTTGCTTTAAAAAAGCAATATAAACAGAGGCTGTGAAGCTGTTGATAGTTTCTGACGTGTTTAGTGCAAATCCTGTTATTTCACGCTCCGTTGCTAACATTAAAGATCTAGCATAGGCCCGTCCGCAAAATTCAAACCTATCAAGTAGAGTGAGGATTTAGCCACACTTACATAGTGCTGTGATCATCGTTATTGATTGGTGATTTAATGTCCGGTTCATCTTCAGGTCATCCCTGTGTTTGTCCTCTGGAGTTTGTAGTGCTGTAGATGAGTGATCAGTGTTATAAGAGATAGAGAGGTTTCTTGAAAAGTGTGATTTGTGTATGGCCAATTGCCTCAGTGTTTGGTCTGGTTTTCTCAAATCATTAAAACTGTTTTCAGCCCTTTTGAATACGAGTTTGATTTTATGACGCATGAAATATTTCAAAATAAAATTCAGACACTTTAATCATATTTTACTTTTTTTTGTTGCATATGTTTGTACACTGTAAAAAAAAATGTAGTTGCCTTAACTTTTTAAGCTGAATGAAATGAACCCTATGAGTCTATTGAACTTATTTTATGTTAAACAGACGTAAAACTAACTTATAAAAATTAAATTTGAACATGATTAACGTAGCACATTTGACCTAAAACATATGCTGTCAGGACTAATTGATCAAAAACCTATAGTTTTAGTTGTATTTTAATAGTGTACGCTGATAAACCGGACACTAAATTATCTTAATTCAATTCACACATATGTTCCTTTATTTATATAAATACATAAACAGTTTTGTTTTTTTTTAGATTTCTCAAATGATCAGGACATATACGCTAAATACATCACAGAGCAAGGAAATTTTCACAGTATGTTTGATAATATTTTTTTCTTCTGGAGAAAGTCTTTTCAGCTAGAATAAAAGCAGTTTTTAATAATAAAAAAAAATTAGGGGAACAATATGAGGCCCTTTATGCTATTTCTTTTTCAATAGTCTACAGAACATTGTGTTGTACAATGTCTAATTACCCTAACCTGACTTGTTAACCTAATTAAGCCTTTAAATGTCACTTTAAGCTGTATATAAGTGTCTTGAAAAATAACTAGTAAATGATCATTTACTGTCATCATGGCAAAGATAAAATAAATCAGTTATTAGTTATTAAAACTATTATCTTTAGAAATCTCTCCGTTAAACAGAAATTGAGGGAAAAAAATAAACGGCCTAATAATTCTGACTTTAACTGCACATTTTCTTTAAATGAATACATGAAGTTTTTTTTTTTTTTTTTTAAAGATTAGGTCTGGCTACCAGCAGGTGGCGCACTATTCATATCAACAACACCACTAGTGGTTTAAGCTGCATGTCAGACACAACCTTTAATTTTAGATATGCACACTTTGCATCGATATATGGAATATAAATATTTTTCGCAAAGCATTATAATCTTGTTTCTATTGTTAAATAAGTTTAACAAAAATCATACAAAAAGACCCCCTTCACATGTTGCATTACTCCCTACACACAATGGAAACTACACTGTAAAAAAAATCCTGGTTGCCTTAAATCAAGCTGAACCAATAAAATAACCCTGAGTCCATTGAATTTATTTTATGTTAAACTGACTTAAAACAGCTTGCGTAATTTGTACAATTAAGTTAGAACATGATTAGCTTGGATTAATAAGTTAGAATGAGATAAAAACATGTTGTCATGACCAATTGATCATATTTTTTTTTTACAGTGTCATTTCTTATGTCTCATGTCACTAAAACTAAGATGGCACCAGCTTCACTTGCATAGTCTAGAAGGCTCTAAAAACTGATTGTAAGAAGTGATTAGTATGAAATCAATCTGCTAGCTCAGAGTTATTATTTCACACCATAATAAACCTACAGAAAATCATTTATTTTAACAACAGAATTCCACAGATTCTCAAGCTCTCATTTTAACTGCCGCTTCATGCATAGCAGATTATACGAGTGAGAGAACTTGTGGATACACTCATGATTAATGTTTGACTTAAAGAAGTTTCACCAGAGTAAGATTAAACCGCAATCGAATCTTTCAGGCTTTGAGAGTGTTGAATAGCTATACATGTATATAGTAGGATAAAGCACCTTCTGACCCATTAGAAACTGGAACAAATGCTTTTCACAAATCAATATAGCAATGTGAAAGATTCAATAGAACATTCCTTGGGCGAATGTGCAAGTTTGAAGGGTCAGTGACATGCTTCAGAGTCCTGGATATAAAAGGCAAGGTCACTATGCTGCACATATATCGACATTTAAAGTAATCAAGCGTCAAATAAAGCATTTGATTTATTTTGTATAAAAAAAAAGGTACAATTTACAATATTACTTTTATAAAAAGTCTCAGCATACAGCATAACACTTTGCAGATACCGGCAGTCCAATTTCTGCAACTATACAGGATAAAACTCAGAGAGAGAGAGTTCACAAGGTTTCATCACGTTATTTTTTTTCAAAAGTCCAGTCCTTCATGTGCCAAAAGAATTGACAGGAAAAAAACAGACTTAAATCTTTGTACAATAACTAACCACATCTTCTCATTCACACGCCGCTCTTCACGAGAAAAAAAAAAGGTAAGACTTCTTCTCAATGCAGAGAAAAGGTTCCTTGTGATCATTTACAGGTTTCCCTCCTATTTTCAGGGAATATAGTGCTTCTTCCTCTTGAAGAAAGTCTTTTTAGAAGATAAATAATCAATGTCCGAACTCATAACACATCACATGGATTGTCCTTTGAGAAGGAGGAAAAAAAGAAAGTCTCTTGATTCAATTACAGGAAAGAAAAGAAGAAAAAAAAACTCCAGACTGAGAACAGAAATCAGAGGAAAAGCCAGTTCCCAGGTCCTGTGTGTTCTTGTGTCTTAACCAAACACCTGCAAAAGATTGAGAAAGAGGCGCATTTAGAGAATGCAAACAGGGCAGAGATCCGGACAGCCTGGCGCCAGAGAGGAAGCCGCAGTTTGAACATTTAACCAAACACTCAGAGACTGAGCGAAAAAACCCTGGGCTCCAGATGTACACCAGTACACAACTTCTGCCTTCGCTTTTGCAAAGTCAACACACTTTCTGCAACTTCACACATGCACACTGCTCCTCAACTAAACCCTCTGCATCAAATACTTGTCATTTAATAGAAAAATTAAAAACACATAAAAACATTGTATTTTCAAGAAAACTTACCTGATTAACGGTAAAGTGTCCTGCTGTCCTCTGTGATCAAGTCTGATGGAAACTCAGGTGTCTAGAAAAACAAAACAGCCTTGTTATTAGAGGTCAATAAGCATGCAACACGATAGATAGATAGATAGATAGATAGATAGATAGATAGATAGATAGATAGATAGATAGATAGATAGACAGATAGACAGATAGATAGATAGATAGATAGATAGATAGATAGATAGATAGATAGATAGATAGATAGATAGATAGATAGATAGATAGATAGATAGATAGATAGATAGATAGATAGATAGATAGATAGATAGATAGATAGATAGATAGATAGATAGATAGATAGATAGATAGATAGATAGATAGATAGATAGATAGATAGATAGATAGATAGATAGATAGATAGATAGATAGATAGATAGATAGATAGATAGATAGATAGATAGATAGATAGATAGATAATTGAGTAGGCGGTGATTCACCTGTAGTGAGAGGATGCTGATGTCTGTGTTGAGTGTTGTCAGGGGTGTTCTGGATGTCCCCTGCCCCGCTCGCGGGTGATGCAGGCTGGTTATCGCCGAATTGGAGTCGAGCGCGATCTGCAGGTCCAGAATATAGTCGATGACATGCTGGAGGATTTCCATTTTGCTCACGTTTTTGTTCTGCGGGATGCTCGGCACCAGTTCCTTCAGTTTGGAGTAGCAGTCGTTCATGTTGTAGAGCAGGCTGAGAGGATCGTCCACGGGGGTCTTGCTCCGCGAGATTCCCAGACTGTGCTCCGTCGTCGTTACACTCGCGCTACTTTTCCGGAAGGACCTCACTGGGCTTATTGCCTTCATGTTGACAGCAGGATTTCGTTGAAAAGACTCGCCTTTTTGTGTTCGAGATTCCCTGTTCGCGCTGGGCTGTTGAAGCAAACGCAGTGGATTAGCGAGCTGTCATCGCTGTATATATACCCAGCTGGGTGGGTTTGTTCACTCGCTGGTTTGCGACGTGCTGATTGGTGGAGAAGGCCGAGTCACTCATCGCCTTCGCGTTACGCTATTGGCTGCTGGGCCGAGCGACAAAGATCCGCCCATTTCTTCCGCGTTCTTGACCAGTGAAAGCGCGTGTTTAGGGTGGCGCTGACTGCCTTCAGCTTCCACGGATAATTTCTCAAATCAGTGTACCTGTTTCCGATCAGGAGAATTAGTGAGTTGCAAGTATAAGGTTGTTTTCACGCATTTGTTTGTAGTGTAATTGTCATAACGTGCCAAAACGTTAGCTTTAGGATTATTTATATTGAATTTCCAGAACACTCAACATACAATATGCTACATACTAAGTATGTAAAACGAAAACGGATTGTTGCATTTATGTATTAGCAATATTATGCAGCGTATGATTCATACAATCTGCGGTTAACATTAAACCAACCGAACATAATGTATTCGACATGTTTCAGTTCAAATAGTCTTGTATTTCCTCGTGTAAACTCTGTGTTAAAGATTTCAACTTTTACCTTCAGGTCAGTGGCATTATTTTGGCAAAGTGCCATGATTTTAGATAAAGATGCCCAGCGGTTTTTACACCAAGTCACTTGACCTTATAGTTCCAGCGATTCTGTATTTTGTCTTTAATATATTCTATATTTATTCATTAATTTAGAACACAGAAAACATGTCAAATTAAGATGAGTGGCGTTTCTTTATTGCGTTTACGATGCAAATCAAAATGATGCACCAGCAGTTGAAGTTTGTGCTTTCTGTCGTTGATAGCGTGCCCTTAATGTTTATGTTTGTTTACACACATCATGACTGTGGGGGAACATGAGAGCAGTCTTTATGGCCTGTGATGAGGATCGTTTTGAGATGTAATAGTGATGACGAGTTCCCCCTGCTCTCTAGTGCAGGCATGCTTGCAGCATATTGATAGTCATGAAAATACTTGACTGAGAAAACAATTCTGTCCTAAAACTGCTGCTGAAGTGAAAACGCATTCTTAAGACCGTGAAGAATATGTCACCCTGCTACAGATTATATTTCCATGTTTTAGAAACCCACAGTGAGTTCAGAAAGCGATAGTGGTGACAAAAACGCTCTTTGTTTACACATGCTAAGTAACAATGGAGACGGAGAGATTTCCTGGTTGCTTGTGCATATCCGACTAAACAGATGTTTGCGGAGATGCGTCGGAATGCAGTCGTGTTGATGTATCGGAATGCACCTCATTATCACTCCTCAAAAAACGATTTTCACGACAAAGCATTTTGTACGCTTTTACATTTCTTATTCTGTTTTTTTTTAAACCTCTGCTACAACAACGAACCATTATTTCCGCGCGCGCGACACTTACAAACACGACGACGCATAAGAAATAGTATCGTGAACTCGTCCGCATCTGCCGCAACTGGCTTTTTCCATTTTCTCCCTCGCCCTTTTTGTTCTCACAGCTGTGTACATTTCGCATGACACCCTGACTGATCCCTGACAGGTGATGAATTGGCACCAAGCAAAGCAGCACTACAGAGCAGCGCCGCGAGCTCACGCTCTCGCAGACTCTCTGGCGCCAGCCCCGTGACGTCACCCATTGACAGCGGCCCTCCAGCCAGTCCTCGCGGCGCCGTCCAGGCGGCTGCTATGGAGACGGGGCCAGTTAGTTAGCGCCGGTCCTCAGCTGATCAATGGGGCCGAGCGCGGAGAGATCGGAGTTCAGCTCGTCACCTCAGCTCTCCTGCGCTCCGAGGCCCGCACACCTGCATCCATTTGCATTTCTTTGCTTACGTTTCACTTGGAGGACTCCTCGCCCTTTCGAAACAATCTAGACTTTGAAACGTAGCTAATGCAACCTCAAGTTACCTCAACTTTATCTCAATATGCGCCCGAGGTAGAACGTATTTCCAGTTAGTCATGCATTATTATGGATAAAAGGAGGAGCGTCTTCGTTTAAATGGGTCATTCGGAGAAAGCTCGTGCGAAACGACACGAATTGCGAATTGTGGTGGGTTTTGAAAGTCGAAAAAGGCTGTAGAATTTCAAAAGTACTGTGGATAAACAGTTTATAAAATCACGCCAGTATTTATTAAGAAGTTTTGTTGCATCACGTTTGCACGATGAAGCTTAAACATTAACAGCAGCCGCTCATCTGACCTAATATCGATTATAGATTGACAAGTTTACCTAATAATAGAAGCTGGTCTGTGGGATCAAGTTTAAAAAAGTTAATAGTCTATGTTATAAAGGCCTAAGTTAAAAAGTTTGGTTTCTCGAAACGAATCGACAGCGTGCGCCTTGAAAGTGACAAAAAACAAACTTGTTCAGTGTCAAAGCGGATTAATAAGCAAAAGCTCACACTTCTGATGTAGCCTACAAGCTCCAGCAGAACATGACTTTATTCATAAATCGGCTTTAGAGTTACGTTTACGTTTCTGTCTCCTGACAAAAAGCTAACAATAAAAATGGCAAGAAAACAATCTAAAGTTGGCAGAAAGTTGACAAGTTCTCCACGGGATGGAGTCGAGATGTCTGCACCGCCTCCTCTGCTGTTCCAGCTCACTGCAGCTGCACAATTCCTCCCGTCTCCGGCTCTTCAGACACCAAATCCCAAAGAATCACATCTTACCCATATATTTACGATATTGATGTCAATGTTAAAAACATCGAAGTATAACATAAATATACGGATCTACTAGCCAAGTTAAAAGATAGTTATCCAAAATAAATCTGAAGTCGTGCGTATTATGACGATGTTCTTTTCGAACGGCTTTAAATTCCAAACTGCTGAAACATGACGCAACCTTTTCTTTGATATCCGCGTTCCGAAAAGTCGAACCGAACTTCCTTTGATGACTTTATCAAACATCGACGTATAACTTAAATACACCTATATAATATGCTATCTACAGGTGAAGCAGCAACACATTTAGTTCCGCGGAAGATTCTCAAAGTCATGCGCGTTTTGACGAAATTTTGTGCGAACGACTACATTTTAAACGTTTTAAACATTAAACGCGTCGCTTTCATTAAAATCCGCGATAGGATAAACTCTCACATAAAACTTCCCGATAATACGTGGGACAAAACAAAACATTTCTGCTCGAGTCACCTAAAACGCGTATTTAAATAGGCTTTAGATGTCCGGACGCTTGTAATGGTTTCGTCGTTCGCTCGGCTGTGGTTTCAGCTCCCGGCAGTGGCTTTGAGGGCTCCCACGCGCCTGTCGCGTGCAGCAGTACACGCGTGAAAGTGTGGCTCGCGACTCTTGTAGCAACATCGACCCCATGGGCGTGGCGTTGATGTTTGGCTTAAGCTATTGTTCGCCTCCCAAAAGAGGGTCCTGAGAAATGTTGCAGTTCAAAACTCGTGTGTCTTTCTGGCTTGCGCAATGTAGTGCAGCTGTTTGGGTTTACACAACAGAGCATTAACACACTCTCCCTTTTGCTGTCAAACAATCTGTCAAATAATAGAAACAATACTGAAAGGGTAAGCCTAATTCTGTCAGTGAGAAATTTAGAAAGGCCTGTATGATGTTTTCTTTATCCGTTGCTTTATTTTAGCTAATTTTTTTTAGGTTTTAACAAACAATAAAAGCTTGAAATTCAGATATGTCATTTTTTTGTTAAAGCTATTTGGCAATGTGACAAAGACATGCTTTCACATATAATTCAGCTAACAGTTTTAATACAAATGTTAATATGTGTCATGTTTAATCAAGAAAAAGTAAAGATTATTTATTTTTAAAGTTATAATGTATGTGTTTGGTTATTTATATACAGTTGAAGTCAGAATTAATAGCCCTTCTTTGATTTTTTTTTAATATGTGCCAAATGATGTTTAACAGAGCAAGGGAATTTTCATATATGTCTGATAATATTTTTTCTTCTGGAGAAAGTCTCATTTGTTTTATTTTGGCTACAATAAAAGCAGTTTTAAATTTTTTTAAAACCATTTTAAGGTCAAAATTATTAGCCCCATTTAAGCTATATTGTTTCCTGATAGTCTTCAGAACAAATCATCATACAATAACTTGCCTAATTACCCTAACCTGCCTAGTTAACCTATTTAACCTAGTTACGCCTTTAAATGTCACTTTAAGCTGTATAGAAGTGTCTTGAAAAATATCTAGTAAAATATTATTTACTGTCATCATGACAAAGATAAAATAAATCAGTTATTAGAGATGAGTTATTAAAACTATTTTTAAATGTGTTGGAAAAAAATATCTGTTGAACAGAAGTTGGGGGAAAAATAATAATTCAGGGGTGCTAATATTTCTTAGTTCAACTGTATGGGACACATCATCAGTAAATAAAATAAAATTAAATTTAAGCAATTTAACATCTACTCAAATCCCTTCAGACAAAACGTTGTTAATGCGATTGTAATGCATTTAATTGTTAGCTTTAACGTGTGATTAGCTTAATTAAAAATAAATACAAAAAATATATAATAACAGAAATAAATGACTGAATTGTGCAAAATTGCACATTAACATCATTTACATCATGCAGTCGCAGTCCATCTTGACTGTTCAAAAATTCCCCCCACTGAATGGTCAGATGATTTATTTTATTGATAAAGCAAACCAAAGATGATGGGTAACAATATTAAGTAGCATAATGACATTTGTAGTGACAAAAGTCAAATGGTCTGAACATTTAAAGAAGCAGTAAATGTTTACTCTCAACATCTGGTAATACAGCGTATGAACAATTTACATCAACAAATTATATCCATCGTACATCCCCTTTTCAAGACACTTCTATACAGCTTAAAGTGACATTTAAAGGCCTTACTAGGTTAATTAGTTTAACTAGGCAGGTTAGAGTAATTAGGCAAGTTATTGTATAACAATGGTTTGTTCTGTAGACAATTAAGAAAAAAATTGTTTAAAGGGGCTAATAATTTTGACCTTAAAAAGGTTTTTAAAAAGTTCAAAACTGCTTTTATTCCAGCCGAATTAAAACAAATAATTTTTCTCCAGAAGAAAAAAATATTATCAGACACACGTTGAAAATGTTCTTGCTCTGTTTAACATAATTTGAGAAATATATATATATATATATATAAAAATCAATATAATAAACGGGGGGCTAATAATTCTGACTTCAACTGTAAATGGCTGAAGTAACGGTAGATTTATAGAGAACAGAACCGAGATTGATTAGTCCTACAGTAGAAGAGAAACCAGCAGTGTGCGTTATTGAGAAAGAGAAATCCTGAAAGACTCCTTTCTCAGTCCAAACGCCATAGTCTTCAGTGTTACAAGGGAATTGAGAGTATTTGGGAGATCTGAAACTGCCTGAGACTATGTGATACCATATGGACATGCAACTTTCTGGTTTTTGTGGTAGCCATGTGCCACTCAAACTGCACTGGTTTGATTCTCTTTCTCTGCTGTGCTGAATCGCAAAGACTAGTTTTTCACATGAGCCACTTCCCTACTGGCTTCTGCTCTCAGTCACTGGACTCTTACTCAATCTCATCTCTTTATATAGCTCACAAGGAAGAGAGACTCATTGGGGAATTAGTTTCTCTCACTATTATTAAATAGTTGGAGAGCATGTCAGACAAGTGAGGAGTCTGGGGTTTTGTGTAAAGTTTTTCTCTCACGGTCCGAACGCTATTTCTGGTACTTGTTTTTTAAACTTTTACATTGCTTTAAACCAAAAAAGATTCCTCTCACGTTCTACATTGAACAGTTTCAGCAGGCTTTCTAAATCAAAGCCATTTATCTGTGCTAAATATTTAATAATATGTCAGTTGCCTCTTGAAAGTGATGATTAAGATGGAGAATTAACACCCTGATGTTGTTTAGGCAACAAGAACCCACCGTTTAGTTGGATTGTAGATTACTGTGACTGATTGGAGTAATAAGATAATGGAAATAAAGTGCAGGTTTCAAACAGAAATGTCAGGGCTGTGCTTTGTGGGGAACAAACAGAGCATTAATCAATAAGCTTTGACAATCATTGGGCTTTTAGTGATCCACTGTTATGGCGCCGTTATTTGTTTCAGGCTTATAGTAGGGTTATAAAAACAGAGTCTTTTAGACATACATGAGCCCTAGTGTGTTGTAAGATGTTATTTTGTAAATATTGGATGTCTTGTCATTGGCTGCAGAGGTTTTTTGCAATGAGGGCTCATGCAGTTCTGTTCTCCCTGCAGTGTTGTGGTAGCAGCATGGCTCTGCATGCACCAGCGCTGAAGAAAGATATCATGGCGGTGTGCCAATATTTCATGTGGGCCGGGGATTACATTCAACAGGTATTGTACCGCTTCACTTTTCTAATTTAAAGTGGATTTTTGCTTGGGAATCTTGTTAAAATGCAAAAACCTTTAGAGGATAGAATGACTCATGAATGAACCATTAAACGAACGGGCTATATTTTAATTTAATAATGCTTTTATTTATTATTTTTCACTTTATCATTTTTATGGGAGCTAATTGTATATATGTTGTTGTTATAGTCAGTTTTTGACATGTTAATCACGTTTTTTTTTAAACTTTATATTTAAGATTTTTCTAAATATATATATATTTCAGAACAATCCCTTCCCCAACAATTTAACCTCTTACAGATGAGAATAATAATAATATAACAATTTAAAAATAAATTAAGAAAATTATACAAAATAAATAAATTAAAAAGTACTTTCATTATAAAAACCTTTTTAGGGGATGCATTTGTACATCAACTTACGTTGTATTATATTGTATACCTCAGATTACATTGATTATCGGTTTATTAACCTCTAAATGTACATATCTAAATATGTTGTAATACTTTTCCATCTCTTCAGGAATATATCAGTTTTTATTTGTAGACATGCAGTCCTTTTTTCCATCACATAGACCTGTTTAAGTCTCTGAATCCACTGAGACCCTTTTGGAAATGTTAATCGCATATTAAGAATATTATTTTATAAGTCAAGCGATTAAAACGGTAAATGTTTTAACATCAAAAGTTGCAGGAGCACAGATCAAAGTCAATTTAAAAGTGTAAATAAGCAGAAAACACCAATAAAAATGCAAGCTGGGCTACACACACACACACACACACACACACACACACACACACACACACACACACACACACACACACACACACACACACACACACACACACACACACACACACAGAGAGAGAGAGAGAGAGAGAGAGAGAGAGTCTTAGAATGTCCATAAATTTGACAGAAAATGCATTGGTAATTTTCTGCCAACACATTATTCATTTATATATTTGTTTACTTTTTGTCATAGTTTATTTGCATGTCTTATCATCAAAAATATATTAATTCCAGTTGAATACATGCAAATGATAAGATTTTATGCATCTTGTTGATGTTTTTATTTAGTGTTTTATGCAATATATCAATATGCTCATAACAAAATATGGTGAAAACAAAGCGGACGGAGGATTCCACACTACCAAACTCAATCCAAAGATGACAAACTCACACACAAGACAAAAAAGTGTACTGTAGCATTGCCTTAAATACTGCAAATGAGGCAAAAAAAAATCTGTACATGTACTGTATTCCAGTCTCATATAATCGCTACAGGAGTCATATAAACCTTCTATTTGTTGTAGCTTTGTGCATATAGATCTCTACATTGTTCTAAATGTATTTTTTTTTTGTTCCAGACAACAAAGTCTTGCAGGTCTTGCAATGGCATGAGAGTGAGTAAATCATTTAATAGTTTTTATTTTTATGGTAAACTTTTTCTTTGTTACGCTAAACAAGACAACAATAAAACAGAGTGACCAGATGTCCTGCGCTCAAAAAAATGTGTTTTGTTCAAACTACTTATGTAAAATGAGCCAAAACAACACAATTCTTGAGTTTTTTTGGGACAACTTAATTGTTCTATGTTCAATGCACTTTATTTTGTAAAAAACAAAACTTAACTTAATTCCTTCATGTTGTCCCAACAAAAATTGATTGAGTAGAACCCATCATTTTTTACAGTGTGCTTTCACCGAGTACAATCCTATATTTCAGCTATTATTGTTTTGTTTCTTAATTTATTGTTTAATAAATCATATTTTATCCCGTATTTCACTTTTCATATCAATTAGAAATTGCTGAGCGCTAGTAGTAGTCTTCTGTCATAATGAAAAATAATTTGAAAAACAACTTCACCATCCAATCAACTTTCCATATCAATCAAGTTGCAGTTAGTGAAGGCGGGAACTGTGTCAGCCACCATCACTGTCAATGATAAATTTACGTATTTTGTTTTTTTCTGGCAGCTGCGGTGCTGGAAGAAAAATGTACAATTACGGCCATTAAATTACAAAAATTTACCTGAAATTTAAGTAAATTTTACGTGCATTATATGACAAATGTCTATAATTTAACAGCTACTATTTTACTGGGGTGCTAGAAAAAAAATAAAGAACAGATTTTTATTTTTTTTTACTGTGTATCTGTCTATCTGTCTGTGGTGAAATAAGTGCATTATATGTCCACCCCATGTCCCATTCTGAGAAATCGGGTCACCTACAACAAAATGTTTCTCCTAATCTCACAAAGAACGGCTCGCTCAGTTACTGCCCGATTAAATCTAGCTCTTAATTCATATCGATTTACTCTTTGCATCTTCAACCAGATGTCCTGCTTTTACCCAGGACAGTCCTGTACTTTAGCCATTTTTTGTTAAATTTCTTAATTTATTATATAATAAAACATATTTTATTGTGTATTTTATCTTTCATATAAATTTTAAATAGCCGAGCGCTAGTACAATGTTAACGATTTTTATAAATTACTGCAATTACCGGTATTATGAACTGTATTTGACTGTAGGGCTGTTATGTAGTATGCTACTGAAAGTCGCATTGTCAAGATAGACAATACTGTAAATACATGTAGAGCAAGATGAGTGGTGCTGTAAATGTAAATACAGTTTTTTTTGCTGTAACCTATTTACAGTAAGTTACCAGATGAACTGCTGCCAGCAAGTTACTGTGTACTCTACAGGTAATTGTTAGCAGTGAAGTAGTCTTCTGTTACAAGGAAATAGCCTAATCAATGGTGGCCAATCATAACAGTTATATTTTGAAAAAGAGTATTACTATCCAATCACATTTTCATATTAATCAAGTTGCAGTTAGTGAAGGCGGGATCTGTGTCACCCACCATCGTTGTCAGTGATTGAGAACACAGGTATCAAAGTGAACATGAAAGTGATTTACTATATATATAAAGAGATTAGAAGCAATATCATATGAAACAGCTCAACCTTTTTGAAATGTTTTTTTAGCTGCTGAGTGACGTCAATGATACATCTTGAGGTTCCAAACAAAGGAATGTTTTCAGGCACCATATTAGAGATAACTTTCAATCTTTCTATCTATCTATCTGTCTATATCTCTATAAGTGAAAGTGAAATACTTGCAATATATGTCCACCCCATGTCCCATTCTAAGAAATCGGGTCACCTAAAATAAAATTGTTCTCCTAATCTCGCAAAGAAAGACCAGCTCAGTTACTGCCCGATTAAATCTAGCCCTTAATTTATATCGATTTACTCTTCGCATCTTCAACCCACCCTCGCCATATTTGTGACAAATAACATATGGGTTCAGAGGCGCACGAGTGCTGGCTAATGTCATGCTGTATTGATTCTTGCTTTATCGAGGGAATAGACTGGCCTGCGCGCTCCCTGATAGAGGTGCTGTTCTTCATCATTGGCTCTACACCTTCCCCATCCCCACGTCCTCATCAATTATTCATGATATGCTAATGAGCCTCTAAGGAATTTCAAGGGCCTCTTTAATAGCTGTTCGGTGTCCAGCGGTAGCAGTGGTGGGCCAGATCGTGCCACAAAGACAAGCTGACAGTGATGGTCTTGGCAGAGTCTGCGCCCTGTATGGGGGCCTCTGTCCTGAGGGCCCCGCGTCTGAAGAGCTGATCCGCTGACCTGTGAGTGTGTGAAAGGGGATCTGAGAAAGGGATGTAGGCTGTGACACATGTGCTGTTCCCTGCCACTCCATGTCAGTGATACTCTCAGATCCCTGTGCAGTTTCACCAGCGCGCCTGTTCAGGAACTCTGGGGTTTCGCTTTGAATGACCACTTTGGGGTTAATTTTCAGACAATGCAAGGTGTGTGGTGGCAAGAATCAGAAAATGAACGTGTCGTTTTGACGGCCCCTTTTAGACAATTGGTGACTATTCTTAATACCTGGGGGGGGGGGGGGGGGGTTACTTGCTTATTAATACTTGCTTATTAGCATAACATTATTATTATTATTATATTGGTTGTTTATTAGTACTGATTATGCTTTGGGTTTGACATCTTCATAAATAATAAACTGCAAAAGATCAAGTTGAAAATATGTGAAAGACATTGTTCAAATGTTGTTTTTGAGACCAAGCATGACCAGACAGTTTATACTAAATGTCGAATTGATTACAGGTTGACTTATTTGTATTTACTGAAGAATGATGCACAAGTAAAATGTAAACACTGTCGAGCTTCCCCCACTGTCAAGCTTCCCTTATTAGATTCTCAAATTTGAAAGTGTTAAGTTGTTTATCATTTATTGAATTGAAAAATCAAATCTAATATTTTCAATGGAAAATTAGTTTATTTATTTATTGTATTGTATTATATTTTATTGAGTCATATCATATATCATATGTCATATATCGTATATTGTATTGTATGGTATTATATCACACTTTATTGTGTCATCATATATCATATATCGTATATTGTATCGTAACGTATCGTATCACATTTTATTGTGTTGTATCATAAATATAGTAAATTGTATTGTATTTATTGTATCGTATCATACTTTGTGTGGTATCAGATATCATATATTGTATCGTATTGTATCGTATGATATATTATGCCATGTCATATCATATATCATATCATATCATATCATATCATTTATCATGTCATATATCATATATCATGTCATATAATATATATCATGTCACATATATCAGATATGGTATCAGATATCATATATTGTATCGTATTGTATTGTATGATATATTATGCCATGTCATATCATATCATGTCATATCATATCATATCATATCATATCATATCATATATCATGTCATATTATATATATATATGTCATGTCACATATCATATATCATATTATATCATATCATATCATTTATCATGTCATATATCATGTCATATAATATAATATATATCATGTCACATATATCACATCATATTATATCATATATCATATCATATCATATCATATCACATCATATCATATCATATCATATCATATCATATCAAATAATATATTGTATATCGCATCAGCTCTTATTGCATTATGAATTGGTTATTATTATGTAATATGCTGTTAGATATATTAAACTTGCCATGGAATAGCCATTAAGTTGCTGTTGTGGCAATAAATGAAACAAACAAGCAAATACTACGAGGCAGTCGAAGGCTTGATTCTGATTAACCGATGAACTTTCTAAATTCTGGAGTCATTTTTCAGATAAATATGCAGGTAAAGTGGTTTCAGGCACATCTTGACCTGCATTACAGCTTCAGTTATTTTCAAAACCTACAACAGTCAAAAATCAAAACAAAGCGATGAGAGGTATCAGAAATATGTGAATTGCTCCCAAATTAAAGTGTGACCTGATATTCTGTAGATCGTGGACAACTTTGAAATTGAAAATTGTTAGCTAGCAGTGACCAGAGTAGTGGTGGATGAAGTACACAAATAAAACACTTGAGTAAAAGTTTGGATTCTCTCTCTCAAAAAAAAGACCCCCGGTATAAATATAAAGGCTTCCTTTTTCCTTTTTTTTTTTTTTTTTTTACAGCAAAGCTTTAACAGGCATCTCTAAACAACTCACAGTTGTGACTTACATATGATTTTCATTTATATTAATTAATCCTATAATTCTGCATCAGAAACTCAATTCTGCATTCTGAGTCAACTCAGTTTTGTAACAGTAATCGTTTTGTGCAAAAAGGATCTTCATGTTTTGACGGACTTTGAATTAGTTTGTAATTCAGTAAATCATATATTGTAGACTTGCTCTGACTGGGTCATATGACTCAATGAATTGAAAACTAGGGACTTGCTCTGACCTGAGCATTTGAATCAGTGAGCCATTAACTTGAAACTCAGTCCAAGTGAATCATTTGAATCAGAATTTCATTAGGTGCGTTCAACTTCATGCAGCGCTGCACAGATCGATCGAAATCTGTCTTAAAGCGGTGCATGCTGGTTAGAATTTTTGTCCGGATTGATGCTGCGCTGATGCGACGACATGTGGCATCAAAGTACCGCGACAGCGCTCCGACAGCATCTAAAGATGGTCTGCTAGAACTGTGATGACGACATGGATATTACACGATTGGCTGGATTTATTATTAATATTGTTATTATAATGGATTATTATTGGACAACTTCCAATTCAAAAGTTTTAAAACAAACAATTCACTTTTTCATACCCTCTCTATCTTGTATATATCATGCTGATTAAAAAGACTACAAATATTGTACTGTAGCAGTAATAATTTTTTTGTTAAATATTTGTTTATAAATGATAGATTGTTTGCACGGGTTTATTTTCAACCTTTTTATACAGACTATTTACTGCATTCAGCTCCATGAACTGATATATTTATCCATTAAATATATATCCAATAAATGATATATTTTAGTGAATAACCTAAATATTAACTCAAATTAGTCTTACAGATTTGAAATAAAACAATTATCATCATTAATCCTGTCACCCTAAAGCTTTCTTAACAAATTAAGTTAAATAACTATTTTATTAAATAAT